AAGTGATGGACTACTTCCTTGATATCATCTGAACACCACAGATGAATTAAAGTGCACTCAGGGGGTGGTTAGGGCAGCTTAAAACAACCCTAAGAAGGGTTTGCATGACTCAGACAAAAAAAAAGACTGGAGGCAAAGAGATCAGCAAGGAACAAAGCAATAATGATCACTGCTGATATACTGCAAAAGGGCTTATTAAATTACAGTTTGTTCACTATTAAACAGAGTTACTGTCAAGGTTTGATGTGATTATCATCAAAAGATCCATTTACTGGTACTGCTGTAACTCATCTCTGTTGTTCTTACTTACTTTTTCTTTGTCTTTTGATCTACTTTTCCATTCAGTTAGAGCTACTCTGTATATTTCTTTTCATATGGGGTTGCACAGATCCAGCCAAGTGGACCTGAGGCTGCAGCGATGTGTTATTCTGGCATCTTAATTTTTCATCACTCCTTTGATTTCCTGCAGCCATCTGATAAACGTGACATTGTGATACTCTTAAATGATTAATTGAGCTTGAATATGTGCTTTAGAATTACCATTCATTATGCTGCGTCACATTTTATCTGCTGAACATTTAATCATCTGCCATATGCATATTAATGATTACAGTGGTACCTGTGTAATGGGAGTGAGACGATTGATGTAAGTGTCTACTTCTGTGCAGTCACTCTGCCCACAGTGCTGTCTGTGCAGCACAAGGGCCCTCTGTGGAGAGTTCCTGGAATCACTCTACAAGTTTTAAAGTTACAGTAGGATGACTAATCTGTCTCAACTAATCTGTGTTAGCAGAAGTTTGATCTCATAATGAGTGTTGGGCAGTGACAGCACTGCAAGTAGCAGCCTTGGTGGCTAACAGTTCTCAGTCACATAGTGGCAGCATTGCTGCTGTCAGGATCAAATTGCTGATAGCTAAAGCCTGGTGAATGCTGCAAGATTTTTAAAATTTGAGCTAATTTTGAAAATGTCAGAGACGCTGCACATGACGGCAGATGAAGACAGATTTAACACTTTTCTTCCTGCGGTGTGTGGTGTAAAACAATGAGGTTAACAGCCAGATTCCCAGAGTCAAGACTAGAAACCTCAGAGAACAAAGGTAAAGAGTAAAAAAACATGGCGGACCATAGAGAGCTAAGCATTGCTAGCTGCTTAGCTTCCTCCTCAGACCCAGTTTTGCTGCTGACTGCTTGTTCTTGTTCTTTTGTATTTGCCATGATTCTTTCTTAAGTGACGGCTCAAATGCGAAACAAGGTTTTTATACTGTGTGAAAAGTGTAGGACAACCCTTTGTTTTAACTTAATTGATTGATTGATGACAAGCTGTGAGCACTCCAAACTGAAAGCACACGATTGCACAACAGTGGTTTTTGTTTTGGCTCAAGACCCTTGTAGTTTTGGTTTTTGTGAAATAATTTTGTTTCTCTGTGCAAAAAACTAAGATATTTGGAAAATCTGTGCAAAAAAAATCATTATGGAACAAGCTAAGGAAAAGTTTTAAGACTGGAATAAACACTGACTTCAATCAGTCTACCCACGTGTAACTAGAAATTAAAATACAAAATGAACCGTAGCAGTTTTTTAGGCTGATATTGACTAGTAGACAAAGTTTTGCATTAATACAGTAATGAGTTCCAACTGAATAATAATATGCGCTCATCTCAAGTTCTTATAATATATAAAACAAACAATCAACAGCAAAACTGAAGATATTTATTTTGCAGTTTGTTAATGCCTCAGAGGGGGAGCTAGCTGAGCAGTTGGAGAAACAGCACAGTTTTTACAATTTTAACACAAATTAATCATAATAAATAATACTCTAAATGTGACAATACAGCAGGAAGACTTTGGGGTCAGAAGTCATTAATTAAAGCTGCTGTAAGAAATACGATTATTATTTAACTACTATTTAAAGTTCAGGAACAGAGCTTTTTAACTGGTAAAGAAACAGATTCAAACTCACAATGATGCCTCATTATCAGCTACAAAGGCAAATGCAAGTATCAGCAACAAGTTGCAAAAGCACGAAAAAAAGTTGCAAAAAAACCCTGTAACAGCGTGTTATAAATCAAATTTATTATTATTATTATTGTTACTGTTAGGGTGAATCAGTTTTTATAGTAATTTTAATACTTTAACCAGATGTCTTCAACCAGACTACTGACAGGATGCAGAAAAAAATAGCCACAGCAAATATTCACAGTGATACATTTGACTGCTGGAGGACAACAGGGGTAAGGTTTTTTTTTTTAAAAAGTACTTGAACATAAACAGGACAAGATCAGTAAATAGACAGTATGAGCTTTGTAGGGCAGAAAAATGCAACTTCAGGAATTACTGAAATTATAAATCAATAAAATGATGCAAAATCAACCAAACTGTGCAAGAATGTGAATCCACATGGTAAGACAGGTGTCAGAGTCCAGCATCACCCTATATACGTACCTTTTGATGTCTTTTAAACATGATGTGGACTTCAAACTCTCATTACTTTACTACTTAGACTAAAAGTTTTTTCAGTGGTTATTTTGGAGTTTACTAGGATACCAAGCAATAACCAGGAGACCAGTTGATTTTGTGTGTATGCTGCATGTGGTGAAGTCTTTATTTTATTTTTCTTTTTGTAAGCTTAAGATTACAGCGTGAGCTAAGTATTGAGTGACGGTCTGTGTTGGTTCTGGGGCCACCTGCTCAATTTTAAACAGCCTGAATCTACTTAATGTCCTTCCACAAAATCCTGTTTTAAGTGGAAGATAGTTAAACTAAAATGAAGGATGATGTCATTATAGGAGATCATGAAATGAGGACATAATCATTTATGAGTAAACTCATCAATTCCCATAAAATAGATAATTCCCTATTATAAAGATTGCATGGAGATTTTAAGGGAGGCTATATTTCAGTTTTTTTTCCCCTCTTTTTGTAGAAATAAGAGGTAAAGAGATCAATACAGCTCTATTTAAGTGAATATAAATTAAAAAGCTGCTTGACAATGACATACAGGGAGCTAATGATATTGCTTCATATTTATCAAACACCCAAGAGTATAAAATATTTGAAAAGTTGCCAGAATTCTCAGAGAAATAAATCTCATTGTTAAGTGTCTGTATTTAGGAAACAAGCCTAATTGGATCTAAGAGTCTGAAGGTGTCAGGGATGTCCTGATTGACATTCAGGGAGGGATGTCCACATACCTTCTGTAAGAAGAGAGAGAATTATCGATGTGTATGAGCTCATCTAAGGACATCCTAATGTCTTTATGGACCTTGTGCAGAATGCGATATTGAGTTCTTACTCACTCAGGGCTGTCTCCTCATCCTCATAGTGGCATAAAGCATGCAGCCTTGCAAACAGCTGCTGTTCCTCTTTTTCTTTTGGGTGTCACCTTTGAAGGAGCTATTTTGGGAGATAGTCTGTATCATTTTTTTATAATTCACTACCTAGGGTGACATTGCAGAAATAACTTCCCAAAATGCAGGAAACATGCTGTTAATTATCTGGAGGTTATATTCATAATATGTGCTCATACAAGACTGTGTGGAAAGAAAGAAACGGGATGGGATGCCACTGACTCCTGCAGCTCAATTAACTATCTACTGTTGTTAACAAATATTTATTGTTGAAGCCAATTAAGTGTTGGCCAGTGTTTGCTTCCAGCCTACAGTGAATGGATTATTGTTCGTCAAATATCATTATGGACCTTATGCTTGTTATTAGTTTAGGTGCTATATTTAAGCATATGGAACCAACACAATAAGTTTTTCTTCAGTTAAGAAAGGAGCTTTTTTTTAGCATTTTAATTTTTTCAGTATTAACTTTATCAAATCACGGCTGTGCCAAAAACTCATCATTATTGGTCACTTTTTTCTCACAGATATTGTTGCAAAGTAGTGGCAGAATTCTTGGTCTGTGAAACTCTACTTTTCCAAACACACACACACACACACATAAAAAAGCAGGAACCTTCCTGGATTAGAACTCTTTTTCCAAGGGAATATTTCTGTTTTTAACAAGCTCACTTTCAAAAAGGATGACATGTGGACACTTTTGTGTTGGTCTACTAGTTATGGTATATTAACCCTGGTCTATTAGTCCAAGTTTCTATGTGTCTGTTCATGAGCAGCAGATGATAATGTGGAAAGGCAGGTCCATGCTACTAACACCAACAAAAGCCACTGTCAGTGCAGTATATTAGTTCATTGGAAAGTTTAGTCCTTCAGAGAGGAGACCCTGCATTTCAACTGCTGCATTGCTGTCAACCAAGTTGCTTGCTACCAAGGCTTTTATATTTTCAAGGCTTGCGGAGAGTACCTTGGAGCCTTCTTCCCTCTGTGGCTCTTTTTTTGATCTACTTTAAAGAGGGCCTTTACAACCATGAACCAACAAGCTACAGTCAATGGCACAATGAGAAGCTCACTGTTGTTACAGAAAGTTAAAAAGTGAGAGCTTTTAAGCATCAGGGGCTCTATTTTGGTGCCTCGCCGGAGACGTGCCGCAAGCGCAACGTCAGTCAGATCCGCCGCACTGACAAGGCGTTCCCAAGCACATTTTGGTATTTTGGTGAGCCGCGCAGCCCGGCGTAAGTATCCCCCCTCCCTAACTCAGCTCCTCCCAGCACCATAAGTAGTAGAGGGGAGTAGAAAGGGCGTGTAGTTGGTTTAACACAGCCGAGACCTGTTTTCACCAATCACATAGGCTCCTCTCCTTGCCTTTAAATCCGCCACAGGCGAGGCATAATACTATTTTCATGGAGTAGTCAAAGAGATCAAGAGATGTCTTAAGACAGTAATGCCACAAGATGGCGACAGAGGGCAGCTCCTCAACAAGTGTCCTCCACACTCTCTCATATGAGCACAGATGGATTTAGTGTGCGTAATGTTGGACCCACTGGTAAGACAAACACCCGTTTCCACAAATAAAGACACTCACATAAAGTTGCTCATATTCAAACCTCACGTGACAAAGGTCGGTTGAGCGCACAGATCACAACATAAACTCCAAAAATGGCATTAAAATCGGAACCATCTGTGCGTAAATGACGCATCGCGCTCCGTGGCCTGGCTCTTTCTTTCATAGATGTTGGCATATAAAATAAATTTGGCTCACAAAACTGAATATTATAATATCCGTATGTCGGCTTAAAGTAGATAACGCATCTGAGCACTGAAACAAATCATCTGTTCAGCCGCAGCAGCAGCAGCAAGACGGACAGAGGACACGGAGACGTGTCCAGGTCGAGCTGTGCGAGAAATAAGAGGAAGAGGAAGAAAGAAAAGGAGGGAGACGAATTACATATCTTGTTAACTTCATCATGTGTGTTTATTTACTAGATATTTAATTTAATTTGATGCGGTTTCAGCTGTGTTGATTCGGTCAGGTTGTGTGTCCAAACGCGTGCCAAACGCGCTCATCAGATCAGATATAGATCAGAATATATCGATATAGATCTAAATGTATGTGCTGACTCAGATTAATAGTTGATGATGATTATTTATTGCACTGTAATGTGCCTGACACTGTGGAAACCTGCCGGTGAGGCATCAGTGACGTATGTCAATACGCCGCCGGTCTACCAAAATACTACGAGACCAGCTGCGTTCCGCCTTGCGCTGAAAGCTGACCAGGTTTGAATCGGCGAGCTTTCAGCGCACGTTACACGCCGGTGGCGAGCACGAAAATGTCACTGCGCCAGCTGATTCTGTCAACACCTCCCCCTGCCACGCCACCACGCCCAGCTTGGCGGATCTCGGCTCGCCTCCGTGCGAATCAGTCCACGAAAATACCAAACTCGCCTTACGCCGGGCTCCACCAGACGAAAATACAACTGCGCGGGGCTCGCCGCCCTCCGCCGCCTCACCGGCGCGAACGAAAATAGAGCCCCATGTCTCCGAGATTTGACAAAGATGGCACAGCACCTGGTGAATGGCCAGCAACAGGCCTGGCATGTGTCTCTGCGACACAATTGGCCAGCGCACTCAGCTGTTAACCAAAAAGTAGGTAGTTTGAGCCCACCCAGGGACTAGCTGTTCATACGATTGAATCCTTGAAACTCACTCAGTACAGAAGGCTTGACCTCTACAGAACAGGTCCTGAGTCATGAGATGTGGAAGTGTGGAAGTAAAGAAAATCTGGCAGCATTCACATCCAGTTTGTCCCTTGACCTCTGCAGACAACTAACTCCATTCACGAACTACTGGGCACAGCCAGCAGGTGCAGGCAGGGTCAAGAGTCTTGCCCAAGGTCACTTCAGCACATGAACAGCTCTGGAATCGAAACTCCGAACTTCCGACGTGAGAGAACATGGACATGATGATGCAAAAAGTTAATGACAGTGACAGACAATAGCAAAGGAGGGAAAGGTGCTCAATGAGTCATTGCCCCCGGCAGTCTAAACCTATAGCAGCATAACTAAAGGCTGGCGTAGACCTGGACCAGCTCTAACTATAAACTTCATCCAAAAAGAAAGTGTTGAGCTGACTCTTAAAGATAGAGATGGTGCCTGCCCCCCTGCACCTCTACTAGTAGATGAACCCCCGATATTTTTATTCCAGAAGCTTCCCTATACCATCTCTCACATTATCGTGTCTTGTGCACTAGCCTGACAAAAATTGTAGTTTTGTTTGCCTGGTAGCAAAACAAACAAACAAACAAACAAACAAACAAACAAACAAACAAACAAACAAACAAAAAAAAAAAAAAAAAAGGAAAAAGTAAATCAGCATCTGCACCTTTGGGGCTAAGCCCCTGATCGCCTAGAATCCTAGATTCGCCCCTGCACTGCAGGCCTTTTTCTTGCAGTGAAGAAGATCAGATAGCAGTCTTTTTTTTTTTTAGAGTCTTCTGCTTGTCTGACTGTGTGTTCAGTGTCTTGCCACTGAGATTTTTTTCCCTTGTTCTTAGAGAAGAGGAAAATAATTGATGATGACATGAAAAACGGGAGCTGCGAATGGAGAGCAGAGGGGTCGGAGGAGGGGTGTAGGATTGAGGAGCTGAATACCAAAGAATTTAGCTTGAGTCAGAGCCACCTCCGCCCCCCCATCAGGAGGAGAAGAATTTTCTCTGCGGGACATCAATCCCATTTTTTCCTGCCTCCTGCTGGGCACAGGTCAATTATATCTTTATTACAGTAAAATGCAGATCATTTTCCTGCAAAATGTAGGCGCAGAAAGACTGATGATCAGAGGCGGCTAAAGAATCTTGGTTTTCTAGGATCTGTGCTACTTATACAGTAGCATGTTGCGAACGGGGAGTTCAGGGTCATAAACAAAGACAGGAGTTCTGTAATCTAATCGTGACCTGCTCTGAAACCAAGCCATAACCTTAAAGCACATTAGTGAGGATTCGGTTTGACACTTTGAAGCATCAGCACCTTTGCCAGGGTGGGGGAGAGGTGTTGTTTTTGGCACCCGACAACATACAATTGACGCCAGAGACTCAAAAGCCAAAGCTTTCTGGGTGGTATTTTTTATTCCTTTCACACAACATTTAAAGATCAAGGGTTAGGAAAAAAATATGGAAATGACTGTTCACAAAAGGCCTTTACCAAAAATGTCTGCTGAAATGTGACCCCTCAATTTGCCAACTTGAAGGAATCTGGGACATTCAGCAGTTTTTAAAGCTGGTATTTATTCTTCAGGCTGTCAGCATGTCCGGCACTTTGACAGACCTGGAAATCCTGAGAAAGTTCAGACATTTTAGGGTATTGTTAGAGCTTCAGTAAAACAACCATCAGAAAGGTCATGACTATGTGCTCATAAGCCTTTCCCATCACTGAATACATTAAAATGTCAAGCTTGTCTGTTAGTGGATTTTATAAGTCTTGAAGGAACAGGCCCTTAACATTTTTCTGTTTACAAAACCAAGTAACAAGGCGTCAAAGAAAAATAATACTGTTGATGAAATAGCTTCATTTGTCAGGTGGTGCTTATGAAAAAGTCAATTTCCTTAAATTGCAACTTTGTGCATTTTTTTTCCCCTGATGGCCTCATTGGACCAGTTGGTCATAAAACTACAGGCCTCTTGATTTTTACTGGCCCCTATTACCCATTTTCTGAGCCACTTTTTTTTCTCTCCCTGCACGCATTTGGCAAGAGTCAGGAAAATAAAGCAGGACATACTGATACTGAAAAAGCCGGCATATTGACAGAAAACACTCACATTCAAACCTACAGGTAACAAAGAGTTGTCATTAAATTTGCTCTAACATCACACTGAGGGCAGGTAACTCAAGAGTTCCATCAACCAGCTTCTGTTAAGACTTTTTTGACACGTATGCGATGAACTGGAATGCAAACCGATGCCTATTAGGATATCCAAAAGCAATCAAGACCTTTAGCAACATGACTGATTAATGTGAACATTTTTTATATTGTGAATTTTAAGTTTGAAAGCAGAGCAAGGGCTTAGGTGTTGGCCAATCAGCTGAAGAAATATATCAAATATACACAATACATTTGACTGTCAGAGGTCAGCAGTAGTGTATATTTTGGTCAAAGGACACTGTTTTAACATTTAGAGAACCAGATATGCAAAGACTGCTTTTTCCACAGGGGGTGCAAAAACATACCCAAAGAAAAAGTTCAGCAGCTGAGCCTTCATGTACATCTAAATTTAGCTCAGGAGCAGCACACAGCGCTCCAGGGAATCCAGATTAGTAGATTTGAAAGCATGTCTGTGGTAAAAGAATTTAAAACCACATTTTCTAAGCCTGCGTATTGAGGGGTCCTTTGGGTTTTTGGTGCACAAATTTCGGTCATACATTCACACATACAATTGGTGGTTTTCTTTAGTCCACTCTCATGAACAACTGTAATGAAGAGCAATCAAAGACATTCACAAAAACTATGATAGGCAAGAGATAGATTCAACCCCAAGACAGCATTAATAGAGGCCCATCTCTGACGACTATCAGCCATCGACCTTGTTCACCCCTGAGATCAATCAACCACTTCAGCATCCAGAGTCAGAGCTTCTCAGCTCAAGTGCCTGAGCATTCAGGCTTCACTTCCCTTCCTATGATGTCTCTGGACCATTACTCAGTCCCCAGTGACCAGTGTCTATGGTTTTGTAAGGAAAATAAAAGATCTTATAATGCACACACACACACACAATTTTAGCTACAGCAGGGAAGATGCTTTGCCGAAATATTGTTATCATAATCATCTCTGACTCTAATTCAGTCTCTAAGTGAACTAATAAAATTGTTTTGTGACATATTCTTCTTGTAACTATTTCAGCTGAATGACTACAGCCGGTTGAAATGAGGTCTTAGACTTTAAGACTTGATTTGGCTTCTTTGTTAACATAAATTTCAACACTGAAATCTCTGTTAGTGTTCAATGGCTAGCCTTGTTATCATGGTGTCCAAATGCTAACTAAGACAGTTTGGAATGTTTGGCTTTGGTATTTCAGCTATTAGAATAAAGCAAAGAAACTATTGTTGTGGTATGTGCTAATTTAGCTCCACTTATAAACCTAGTCATAGTTCAAGAAAACTTGGTCTTTCGTTGAGGAAGACAAAGGCAACAAATAAGAGGAGCTAGTGTGGACAGGCCTTTCCAGATGAATGCCTGCTGTGAAAAAATGCTTACACTTTGTATGTCAGTAAATGTTTACCAACTGATAAAACAAAGCCATCAGGTTCAGACAGCTCACAAAAGTAAAGTTAGAAATCAAAATAATGAGCTGATTAAATCACAGTATGAGTCGATGAAATAGGAAATCAATTTAATGCTTTTAAGGCACAACTGTATTGCCAAAAATTACCAGACATTGTTTAATTGGGTGTTTATTTGTTATTTGATTACAAATGTTCTTGTCTAAAAAAAAAAAAAAAAATCACACCCACAGATTTAATGACATCTCTGCACAGTCCAAGTACATGCAGAGTGCCTATTTGTATAGACATTAGCAGGATTGGAGAGTGTGAGTCTCTTATTGTACTCTGGGTGTGTTTTTCTTTATACATGAGCCCATTACATTATTCTGAGTTGGTGACCCACAATTCCACATTTCCTTGGTATTACCTCCTTGTCCTTGTTATGCCAGATGCCTCGTGAGCTACAGATGTTTACTGAGCACGTGCGTCAGCCTCCCCACGGCGATGGAGCCAGTACGAGGATGGATGGAAGATGTGAAGAAAAAGCCTGCCTCCCCCATCCTGCGCAAGGTTAATCTCGTCCTCAGCCACAACTAGCACGTCACCCTAATGAAGCCCCCACAGACGAACGCTTAATAAGAGTTAAGAGTAAATTAACCTTGAAGACTTTGCACGCAGCTCTCCTCTTTTATACCCTTTATGCATCCATTTCCCATGATCAAGGACGGCAGTCATTTAGCTAGAGGAGGTCAGAACAAAAACATTCCCTTGATGGTCGCAAATTTCTCTCTGACATCTATGTTTCAGTCAGAGTAGCGAGCAGAGGATGAGCCTGTGTTTCCCTGTTGTCTGAGGCAGATAAAGCGCTACACCCACCCACCCACTCTTTTTTCTTCTTCTTCTAGCTGCTGATCAATGCTCTTAATGATGGTAATCAATCAAGAAAACGAAAGATTTACTCTCCAATATTAATTTTGCTCAGCATCGATTGAGGAGCGAAGAGTATTACTGCCATTAATGCCTTTTGAGGTGCGGTATTGAGTTGCTTGCCTCTAAAAACAAGTCATTCATCTTTCATCTTAGCAGTTTTATTACACCTTTAAACATAATTAGAAATAGATAACAGTCACCCCAGGTGATATTTCGTAAACTGCTTGATAGTCCTGCTATTTTTTCATTTTGAGATAATTACATGATATTAGAGTCGGTTTTAAAATCTCAAGTGTACATTTTTCCACAATACAAAATGTTTTCATCTGGATAAATTGGCTAAAGACGAATATCCAGTCAGAACATATTACTCCAATATGTTAGCTTGTCCTATTTTTTTTTTTTTTAAACAAGGATGCCATTTACTTGGTGAATTTGCATTTCCTAAAAGTTGATAAGGCACAATTCACCCATTCTTAAGAAGCAAGGTTTCAACACAGTAAACATCTCTTTTTACTTCACCAAGCCATAATTCACATGTACTAACACCATGATCTCAGTCTGCTGTGCTGAATCAAGGTACAGTGATGACGGCCAGTGCTAATGATACGCTATTCAATGAACCACCAGGGGCAGAAAACATGCCAAATCTACTGAGGGGTTTATACCAGGAGCTGTTTCTTCCTGTACTATGGTGTTGTGTCATAGTACCAGCTGATCAAAGGCTGATGTTGAACTTTAAAGCTCTTAGCTGCTCCGACTGCACTCGGTCAAATCTGCTCTTACCTTTCTTGCACTTTGAGCGCAGTGACACAACATCCCCCCTTTCAGTCTGCATTGCTGCCATGAGGCTCAGAAACCTGCAATTCATGGAGAGGAAAGCTTTGAATATTATCTGTCTTACATTCAGACAAAAGAAAAAAAGATCTACATAGGCAGAGAGTAGAAAGTAGAGACCGTATTTCAGACACCAGAATGTACAATAAAAAATATATATATCTTAAAATTTTATTTTATGCAATGCTAGATATAACTTTAAGCCAAAAGTCATTCAAACTCAAACATTTCACAATGGATGGACGGACGGACGGACAGACAGACAGACACAGACAGACAGACAGACAGACAGACAGACAGACAGACAGACAGACAGACAGATACGCCTTTCACAACACTTAATGTAAACCATAACTCATAACTCATAATACATCATTGGCAAATTTATAAAGCCTCATAAATGCATCTTTATATAATGCATTATATCTTTATAAGTAATAAAAACAATTATATGGTGTATAGCAATGTTTATAATGGGTTTTAAGTACTGAGCATAGTGTTATGTTTTTGTATCATGGGATTGGCGAAACAGCAAGAACACAAATCTACCAGACCCGCCTCTGGTAGGTTGACTGAAAGTGAGGTTGAGTCGGTACTACCAACATCGACAGCTGCCAATAGGCTTCAAACCTCGGCTTCACAAACACATGAGTAACGTCACCAATTCTTCTCTGACATGGCCAAGAAGTGAAGAGTTGCTTGGCTATTTTTTATCTATTTAGGGATTTATATGTATCAAATCCTTGCAAGGTGTTATACCCTAGCCCTAGCACCATGCATGAACTTTGTCACTGGTGGAAAGGGTGGCTGTGAGCGGTGGAGCTGTCAGAGTTGGGTTCAGAGGAAGCATTCCCTGGACTGTGAGTCTTGCCTATTCTAATTGTTATTTTTGGTATTCTTTAAGAATAATCACTTCTTCATTGTTAAGCAAATAGTCCCCTTTTCCCTCAACTTTTGAAGATTTTGTGCTTATCTTTTTGACTTTAGCAGCAATTTTAACATCATTCTAGACCCTAACTTTTGACTTTCTATTTAAACTTATAACCCAGAGTGTGATTTCTTTGAACCAGTTAAGATCCTCATGTTTAAACTCTTCATTTAGAGGACATGCCCTGGAAAAAACTCATAATGGTCCTTATTATGGTCATTTTGTGTTATCCTCATGGATTGAGTGCCTTCTGGCTCTGTTATTTCCCTGCACATTATAATACTTTTAAGCCAGGTTGCCGCTGTGTCGTCTTTATCCCTGTCTTTCCTTTCTTTTTGTCAGTAGTATACATGCTCCTCAGCCACAGTGAGAAAAGTGGAGCAGGTTTTGTTGATGACTTAAGGGATGGAAAGCACACCGGGGCTCCTAATGCACCTAGTATTTAAATAATCCCCGGGTCTCCGCCATCCTTTTGATGCCTTTGTTCACTTTGAAAAGTTATCACCATACAGCCTGTACTGTTGGCTTGGGGATGAAAAGAGAAAGAGAGAGAGAAAGAGAGAGAGAGATGTTGAATCACAACGCCATACCGTTTTTTTTTTTTTTTTTTTTCCCTGCATCCAGTTCCCGGAGTGTGAAAGAACATCTGAATACACATTCGAAATCTTATCTCACTCCAGCTGTACCGCTGAATTCTTCCTTTTTCAGGCACTCTAGAAAGCACTGCAGAATAGGAACTGAGAAATAATCAGCCATGCTTATCTTTCTGCAATACTGAGGGGAGCTATAATGAGACTCACTCATCCATAGTGGAGAGCTTAATAATTCATTGTGGTAGCTTTGCAGGTGAACCCTATCACATTACAATTTAAAAGCTCTAAAGCTAGTATTGCTGAAGGGGAGAGCGGCTACAATGAATGCTCGGCTGAAAAACTCCCATGCATACAGGTATATGGGCACCACACATACTTTCTCTAGAACACACACACACACACACACACACACACACACACACACACACACACACACACACACACACACACACACACACACACACACAGAGTCACTAAATGAGTTCCAATTTGGTCTAAATAGACTTGTATTGCAGTGTGCAGGCCTCTTCACAACACCACAAGCGACAAGCACAGGGTTCTTTCAAGTGGTAAACACAAACAGTGTTTATTGTGAAGTGGCCCTCCTTTTCTTCCTAATTTGAGAAGCGCTCATCATATTAGCGAGCGTAAATCACTCCTCCCCTGGGAACAAAAGTTAACATTCTGTCGGCACACATGCTGAGAGAGGAGAAGACATAAAATAAAACATTTTACTTGTTTTGCTCTCAAGGGCAAAAGAAAATTCCCCCCCCCCCCCTTTCCCTTGGGCACGGTGCCAAAGATACTCTTGCACATTTGGGGGAAACATTAGTTTTTCCCTGCTCTGACACCCTTGTTTTCACGCAGACCTTTGCTCTGATTAAGGATCTAGAACAGTCTGCCGGCACTTTTTATTCCCTCCTAAACTCATTTTCTCGCAGGGAACCTTCAGACAGTCTACAAAGATGGGGTCGGCTTTGTCAGTGACCTCTGGCACTGACTGTCTGTGGAGTACATCCCAGATGGGCTGGACTGTGGCCCACACTTCTCCCTGCTCCCTGCTCCCTCTCTTTCTATCTTTTTGTGTCTCTCTCTATCTGTTGCTCTCTCTGTCTTCTCTCCCTCCCTTCCTTCCCCCCTCCATCTCTGTAGGACAGAGCCCGGGTCGCTTGGCACAAGGGCTGCATACTGGAGTGACCTTGCAGGGCTCCCTAATGGAGAACTTGGCATTGTTCCATAGTTTCTCAGCCAGCAAACATGCACCCCCCTCAGCACTACCACCTCTTCTCTGTCTATAGATCTGGGCCATAGTCACCTCTAACCCATTGTCCCCCCACATTCCCATCCGAGAGCCAGGCCACATCACATCACTGACATTAATTGTCACCAGAAAAGGCATCTGATAAAAGCTCCCTGCTCAGTTTCTCTGCGGGGAAACTGTCAAGTCACACAGGAATTAAGAACACTTGAGGAAGCTCTGCAATAAGAGGACAGAGAGAGCACTGTAGTAACATGTGTGCCTCTTTGAGTGTGTGTGTGCTCCACACAGCAGTGTGTTTGCTCATGCAATGATGAGAAATGTCAAAACATGTTGGAATCACGTTAGCCCAGTGTAACCCTCAGGAAATAAGTGTGGTGGGATTAACTGATAAGTACATAATTCGCATCTAAGAGTATTATCTTGGGATGAAACAGTGCTTAAGTCTTCTCAGATGATTCTCTGCTACAACGCACTCCCTGCAACGAACCAACAATAATATAATGATGTGTCTTTTGTGCAGATGGAATCTCAAAGCAAGTATTTAATGGGGCTGATGGATTACAAGAAAATGGAGGCGAATGAAATGAATATTTAATAACCTCATTATAAGAAATAGATCTCATTGCATAGTCATACTATAGCATACAACAATGCTGGAGCACATAAAGGGCTGTAATAATTGAACTAAATGAAAAATCCAGCTGAGTTTATCCATGGATGGTACATGAAAGGCTGATGTGGCTGTCAGTTAATGAAGAGTTTTGTTTGAAGCCTCTGGTTTTGCATTTTGGAGGTGACCATCTCCCTCTCTTTTTTAAGTTAAACGTGACCATGATTGAAAAATTGTTGGATATGCATTGATGTGTCTCTACTGTAGTCGAAAAATATCCAGTGTTAATTTGACTTTCACAGAGTTTTTATAGCTCCACACTCTCTTAAAGTATTTTTAAAGTGTTCAACTAACACTTTAAAGTACTTCAAAATTTCAAAGAGTTACCTTTTTACTTACTTACTAACACACCATGGGGGTGTGGAGGTCAGTCTTTGCTTGCCTGGCGTCTTTTAGTAAGGAGGTGATGATGGAAACTTTTCTGGTCACAGCTCTTTTTGAGATTAAGATTTTTTTTAAAAAGGAAAATTTTAGGTTTTCACTGATTTCAATTAGTCAGCAACCATGATTGATACATGTGGCCAAAAAGATTATGTGAAAAGTAAAAATAACAACCTTGAATATCAAATTACCTTTGGAAAGACTCCATGCTCTCAGCTTCAATTAGCAGATCAACATGACACCTTTACTGTAAAGTCCTGGCAGCATTTAAGTGCTCTGAAAAGTACAGATGTTTTTTTCGTTGTACGCTCAAAAATGTAAGACTGTAACAATGTAAGTGTGACTTTATGTCACTTACCCTGTACAAGTGCATGAGAGGAGAATATTTGTGTGTCTGTGTCTCGACACAAAGTGAAACAGGTGGGCGACCCGGGCAGAACGTAGATAAGTTCTCTGCAGATTTAAGCCGAAAACATACAGGATCCGTATTGGGCGCATTCCGTATTTGCTCTGCAGAGCAGCCCTTGGTATCGCGTACAGGATGCGTATAGGAGAAAACATCATGCTCACAACGGGTTGCTTTGCCTTTCTGTGGTCTATTTCCTGCTAATTTGGATATAATTCAGTGACTGTTGAGCCTCTACTATACATGAAAAAGCAACATGATTTTACAGTTTCGTGTTTTGCAGGTTTACTTGTGTTTAATTAAGTAAACTATGTTCCTTTGTGCTGCGCTGTTACCTTCAGACAGAGTTAGCAGTTAAAAGTCCTATTGGGGTCCACATGGATCAGGGATTGACCATCGGATTGTTCTGTGTTACTGATAAATCCATAATCAGGAGGTATTTCTTATCTACATGAACTGATACACAGTCAGGAGTTAAAACAAAAGTTTTTTTTTAATTTTTTTTATCCAAGTTGAGGTCAAAACAGCATTTTTCTATTCTTACCAGGGCAGAAAATAACAGCAGCACTGGTAGAGGGTCCTCTACCCTGTAACTCCTTGTTGTGAGTTCTAGTTTGTGATTACTTTGAGTTTGCTCTCTTCAATTTGACTGATGTCCCTTTCACCAAGCTCTTTCTGCTGCTAGCTTCTGCATTGTTTCATTTCTCATTTTCTTTGCTGTTTACAGGTCACCTGTTCTCCACAAATCCCGTGTTTTGTGTTCCCTAAATGCATTGAGGTTTAAGTTTTCAAATATCCTCAATGTTGTTTAGTAATTCTATTGGCCATCTGTTTTTGCAGTATGTCTACCAGGTAGAGGTGAAAATGTTAACTTTTAACACCTTCCATACACTCCTGTGAATTGATTTGATAAGATCTGTGATCTGGTTGCTCGTGGTGTCACTCTAGTTATTTAGAATTAGCCTTGTTTGGGGTTTTTGACCAATCAGAGTTCAATATTCAACACAGAAATCAAGGGAGTAATTGCATTGATTTTCCATGCCACATAGTCTTTTTCTTATCAGCTTTTTCTAAGGCAAAGGGATCAAAGGGAAGTCTTTTTTTGCCATGAATCTGACCTATTTGAACTTCAACAGACCCACAACTACGTCTATGCTTTCACATCTGTTTCAGGTCCTCATAAAATAATGTTGAACATTTACTTGAGGAATCATTGGGTTCTGATTTAGAACAACTTGTTCATATATGTCAACAGCTTTGAGTCACTACCCAGTTATTATAGAGTCTGTGGTCATCATACCAAAATAAATTTGTTGACCAGACTTGTGATAACCAATCTTTGGGCTACAAGACTAAAAATCATCTGCAGTCACCGCATAATTTTTGAGTTATTTTTAGGGCTTTTTTGCTTTTTTTTAAAAGTAGGACAGCTGAGAAGAGACAGGGAGTGCTGGGAGTAGAGCAAGAGCCGATCAGTATGGACAATGCTCTTCCTTCTATTGTGAGAAGTCAAGCTAAAATACCAGTGAAGTGGGTGCTTGAACTTTAGGCTGGTGGTGTAGTGTGGCAGGTTCGTTGTGAGGACCCAGAAGCAGACACTGAGACTGAGATCAACTTAAAGAGAATTTTAATGTCCAAACAGAAGAGGTAGATAATGCAACAGAGGATGTCCGGTAGGCTGGTTGGCTGGCTTTCGTGTGGGCTGGAGACACTGCAGGAAAAACCAGAGGAGATGGAAGTTATTGTACATGCACAGAATCACGAGGAGCAAAGTTTTGATGATTATACAAACGAGGTTGGCCAGGAGACGCGTCTTTACCGCTAGGAAGGGTAGACAATACTCAGGCGCTGAGACTGAGGGCTGCAGGCTTCTTAAAGTGCCTTGATTGGAGATGTGGAGCAGGTGTGTAGTCTCGCTCAGCCTCAGCGCCGGGGGAGGGGAGGAAGCCCTGGAAAAGAGTAAAGCCAAACCAGGCAAACAGGGAAACAAAGGAAGTCCAGCCAAAATAAAACAAGATGAGGAGGCATCTCACCACAGGTGGAGCGGCAGAATAACACCACATTTCCTCTCTCAACCAAAACTAATATAGAAACAAATGGTAAAACCCCTTCAGGTTTATTAAACATTTTATCTCAAATCAAAATACAAAGTTTATAGAAAACTGAACACTTGCACAGAAATCCGCGGACAAAGAACTAAATGTCATGAGAGAATGTCTATTGCTGTTAGCCATGTGTTTTAATTTTCCAGTTGGATCCATGCCTTTTTTGTTATAATGGATGAGGTGGACCTTAAGACCTGTACCGCAACCAGTCACCAGGGGGAGCTCGAAAGGTTTTAACTTTACTCAGTTACTCTGTTAATAGTTTGATAGAGTCTACAGAGCTGACATGTAGCAAAAAGTCAAGGCAGGAGTCAATGTGCAACTATTGGTACATGAAGATATTCTAAGTCAGGAAATGGTCGAGAATGGCAGCAGCTTAAGATGAATCATCCAGCTCGAGACCAATCCTGACAAAGGTTGCTAAGGTTCATGGACCAGAAGAAGAGAATAGACCAGCTTGAGAAGGGAAAGATGCTCCTGCTCAATGAGGTGAACCAGCCAAGGCATTAGCACCAAGGTCAAAGAGATAAAGACATCCTCAGGATTAGAGTCCTGCAGGTGGAGCTGTACAGAAAAGGTAGCTGTTTCAAGGGCTTCAGCGCTGGAAGAAAATCAGGATGAAGAAGATTTTGGGTGCTTGGTTCAACATTGTAGATGTAAATTCAAGACTACATATCGTTGCTGTCCGGTGAAAAACACATATCTCCACTTTTGGCTAGACCCTCCAGGAATCTGCAGAAAATAAGTTTTGATTCTGCGGAGAACAATCCTGATTCTACAGAGAAAAATTTTTGATTCTGCGGAAATCCGCGGCTCGAAAGTTGAGATTCCGCAGACATTAAAAAGCCAACCTAAAATTTCCAGTTCTGAAGCAAACATATTTTTTCATGTCATAATAAAGAAAAAAATAATAATTATGAAATGAATTGCAAAACCAAAACACTATGAAACGTTCATAAATAATCAATCAACATCAATATTCTCTTTGTCCCCCTTGGTCAGATTTATTTGCAGCAACTTCAGGAATAATATAGTGCATATTATACTGTCACAAAATGAAGCAACAGTCAGATAATAAATGTAAACAAATACAAGTGCAGAATATTTTTCCAAACTATCATGGGTGATGGCTTAGAAACACAAATGCCTGGAGCTGTGATTCTCACACAAAAAATATACAGCTTTGCTGCTGGCGTCGGAGGATTTTGTTGGAGAAAGCACTCCATTTCAAGTGTCGCTGGAGCTGCTTGCTGTCGCTCATCATACGCTGTGTTTTTTACTCCATTAAAAATATGCCATCCGCTCTACAGCCCGCCTATCCATCTGGGATCCTCCTTACACACACGCACCACATCGCACAAGCAACCAGGTGACACCAAACCTTTCTGCATTCGGCTGTGAGTTCCAGTTCCCGTCTATCTGACCACGTCATCGAGCGGCCACTATAAAAACTACATGTAAAATATAATATTCTGCACCGCGCCTTGTATTCTGCAGACTACTTTCACTTTCACTGAGGACTTTGAAATCTGCGATAATTTCTGCAATCGCGGATTCCTGGAGGGTCTATTTAGCGATCTAGACATTTTTCAATGCATGCATGGTCCATAATATTCCCTGAGAACCTGTAGCTTTGGGTATCCATGGCCGATGAAAAGACATTTTATGACATCATCTTTTTCACAAGTATCTCCATTGGGTGTCGGCAGTGTCAACAAAGCATGTATCTCCTGCCCTGGCCCTGCGTTGTCAGGTCAGCAAGCAGAATTTCCACTGTGACAGACTTATTACAGTCCATAGTAATGCTACACTAATGTCCTCACATCGACTGATGCCGACCTCAAACAGTGTTGCTTAACTGTGCATTCTTGAGCCGAAGTTCATCCCTAGAGGAAAAGCTGTGGCTGTTTTCTCTCTCACACTTGTTGACTATCGTATCACTTTGTTGTGTTCTCGCTATCTTTTAATTTCTCCGCTAGCATTTAAATGAAATCAGAGCCAGAATTTTATTGAAAACCAATTAATTTAGTAGCATAAGAATACATAGTACATTTTTCAGTTGGTTTTTCAGTATACCTGCATCTGTCGCGGACACTAGTGCATGTTCAATTGGGAGTTGCGACTCAAAAAGTTTGACAACCAGTGTGCCATGTTGAAATGTAGGATAGCCCACTGTCAATAGTTTTTCAACATAGTGGGACATAAACAGGACAGTTGAAGCTCGTAAATAACCGAACATCATTAGAGCGCATTATTAAAAAAAAAACATGTATGTCCACTATCACTCACAAGGCAAAGCACGTAAGTCTGTTTAAAATATCAGTTATGTCACTGATGACTGTGTAAATATAGATTTGACGGCCTGTTTTTATCCAAAACAAGCTCCTTTTTTGTTACAAGACTCAAAGAACAAGGCTTGTAACAACCGAAGTCATGAGGGACTAACACGCTGAGTTAGGATTCGAGGGTTGCAGGGCCACTCTAATGACGCTAAAGAAACCTTACATTTCTTACATTTGTGATCTGAACAAAAATTTTCATCTCTTATTTGCAGATAAGACCCTGGTACAACTACGAGGGCACTGCCTCTGGATCTCAAAGTGCTCTCTGGCTTGCACAAGACTTCAAGGATTGGGATATGGCCACGGGACATAGCCAGCTGAGCCATGAAAGTAGAATCTTAAAAAATCAATTCTGAAACTCGCAGGTAGCTGCAGAGAGATCATTTCTCCTTCAAGCACTGCTGCAGCATTTTTGGAGGGGCTGTAAGGGGGGGAAGAAACACATTTCAGAAACTGCACAGAGGGACAGAGTAAGTCACAGTAATCCAAAATGAGAAAATAAAATATTGAGGACTTTCTCCAGGTGTCCCTGGCATGAAAAGGTTTCAGTTTAGGTACATTTCTCCTGTCAGCAGGTGGTTTCCTTGGATGTCCAGGCTAGTAAGATATGACAGCTTTGGTGTATTGTCACTTTAGAGATCACACAGCTGAAGTAAATTGAAAAAAGGTAAATGAGGCAAATACTTGACATCACATATTTGATGTTACAGCCCATTTCTTGAGGTTTGAAGATGTCTTGATAGAGCCGAGCCAAGGTGTTTCTCCTTTAGCAGAGAAATTGACAGGTTTTACAGCTGAGGGGAAAAAAGAAAACGTGATGAGAAATGCAGCGTCCTTCCAGCCTCAAAGTGTGACATTAGCCTTCCCCTTTTTTGCTGACAGCTAAAGAAAAAAAGATAATGTCCAATGTCCCCACAGCAACCGTTCACAGCTGAGTGTGAGTCAGCAAGCAGCTCAAGTTGAAATGGCAGGAGCTGCTCTCGGTTATTTTCCGAACACTCAGAATGCCTCACATACCGAAGCCGAGACCTTTGGTATGAACTCTGAAGTCTGCTCTGGGTGATAGCAGGTTAATGGAGACACTTGGGGTACATGAGGCTGCACTCGTCAGGTTGTAAAAACGTAAGCTGTCCATTTTTTTTATATCAGAGTTGTCATTCAGATAAACTGTAGCACTGCTAGCCCAGAGTGATATGAAACCATGACATAAGAAAACATCCTTGTAAAATAAATATATATGCTGGTGTGTCTGTGCAAAATATCCCATCAGAGTTGATACGGTGTGCAGTCTTCCTGAAGATAATTTGGATAACTCACTGGCTCTCTCTGATCCCTGATTCATTTGCACTTTTCAGGAGTTCCGTTTTGGTTGCTCCCTGTATATCATAGAGGTCCAGTATGTGTCGAACTTGGTTGGTCTTTACCACAGTTAAGTAAACTGGGTCACAACCTGCTCGCATGAAGACTTCCATTGACTCAGAGCTAAGCAGTGATGATTCACACACATTAAAATGGTGCCCTGCTGCCCTCTGACATCTGACAGTCAATTGGTGTTGGCTCAAAGTCAGAGTGTCCCTGGGTGAAACAGTACGACTGCTAGCAAGATGACGAGACGCCCACACCAACCTAACTTTCTGTCAACAAGTCTATTTAAATCAAATTCACTGTGAAAACTACGAACAATACACTCTCAGTCCTTGCACTTTGTATTGGTGATAGTGTGGCTTTGGTATGATTGAAATTCCTCCACTTGAATGATTTCCACTGAAAGCCCACAACTGCCTGTATTCTAGATATTTTAGAAGTGACAAAAGGCTCAATGACTACACATATAATATTTGATGTTAATTGTGCAGACTTAACACTGGATTATAAAAGTTTCCATAGTGACCAGCTGCCTGATGTGGCTGATTTAACAATTTCTTAACTTTGTGTGCATATTAAGTGACATTAATGACCCTGAAAGTAATTACTTTGGAGACCTGTGCCTTTCAGCTCAATTTCTAAAGACCTTTTCTTTACAGATCTTTTAAAGACAGAACACGGAGAGGGGGAAAAAATGAGTAAAGTCCAATCAACTTTACTTTGTAAAACTTTGTCACAGTCCTGCTGATCAGAACTGCAAGTTACAATCAGTACCATCACCTGATAATCAGCCACTTTATCTAAACATAGCAGATGAGGTCTCACAGTCACTGTGAAGCCAGGGAGTGGCCTAAATGTCCTTATTTTTTTTAAAAGACGGATGGTTTAAGTTATTGATTAGTCTCATTTGTGATCACTGCCTCTCACACTTGTTTAAAATATCCTAAACTTACTTTCATAGTGGTCCCCATTTTATACATCCTGTTCAGCACCATAAGATCCTATAGCAAATGCACTCTGACACCTTTGGTTGTCAGCCTTTACAAAAACGTTTTTTTTTTAAGTCTTGTTACTCCAAGCAAGCGGGAGACAATATTTCATAGACAAGTTTGAAAGAGATGACTGGAGGTCAACTCTTACGCACCCTGTATATGAATGTAACTTGCTCTGCAGGCTCTTCAATAACACAGTGTTGTTTTCAGAGCAGCTCAAACATGGCCATGTTAATTCTGTGTCATTTGAATCTCCATCATATGTCATCAACAAAACAATTTTTTAACCGTTAACAGCTGTGTAAAGCAGGCAAACCTCACAGACTGTGTAGTTTATCTATCTGAGCCTTGTACATATTCAAGCTTTACTTTTTTAGTTAGTAAGCACCACCAACATCCAGCAAACAAAACACTTAGGAAACATGTTTTACAACTTAAAGAAAATAAATCTTTATTTCATTACATACAATCTTATAATTTCGGTGCACGCTAAACCTTAGCAAAATTTTAAACCATGAGAAACCATGGATGTTGGCATAATCACTGGATGTGTTACACTCATAGACTGTATAAAGAATGGACAGCGTCTGCCTCCTCGCTGGGTGAAGCCACTCCAAGAACAGCACCCTCTGTTGATGGGCTGCAGTATAGGTCATAAATCCTGCCTCCGCCAGCAAAGCTTATGGGGCTTTGGACAAACTTTGGAAATTTATTACACAGAATATAAATTTCTCAGTTCAGGGATTGCGTAGCTTACCCGGGAGGATACACTGTTTGAGCCGAGCGTCATCACAGCGACTCTCTGCGACTGCGCGGCCGAATGCGCGCATTGCTACTGCGCAGCGCTGGTTTCAGGAAATGAAGAAAAATCCCGGAATTACCGAGAGCTTTTTGGCTTCAAATCCATATACAGACGGTAGGCGTAACCAAGTTGTCCATAGTATATACAGTCTATGGTTACACTACACTTGTACTGTTGCCCATCCAGCATTTTCCTCATGGACACTCCAACTTGGATGCTCTCTCAAACTTTCCTCAACTGTTTCAATGGCCGGCTTTTACACCTCCCTGCACTTTGCTGATTCACTGTGTCTTGTAAAGTGTTTTTGTTGTTGTTGTTGTTGTTGTTGTTGTGTGTGTGTGTGTGTGTGTGTGTGTGTGTGTGTGTGTGTGTGTGTGTGTGTGTGTGTGTGTGTAAAGAAGAAATGTAAGGAAATCAAAGCTACCTTCTCCTCCCACAGACAAAGGCACAAAGAAAACAGTGGGACTGTATCTTGTTTTTTAGGACAATAACAGCTATCAGTTTGTGGTAGCTACACCACTGATGATTCCTCTGTAAACAAGGTCCAAATTGAGCTGGATTTGCATCTTATTTGTTACAGAGAAGTTGGGCTGTTCTGTCCACAAAGACCAGAACTGTAAGTACCTCATGATGAAAGAATCTGACCATCATTTAATTATCTCTATAGCAGATATCTGTGTGCAATTTCAGTCAATACACCATACTGGATCACCTTGATGCTGTGGTGCAAAAGCTTACCATTTTACTGCCTGAAATGCACCAGACATGTTCAAGGTTCTGTTTGAAGTTTAGTTATATCAGTTTCAGGCCTGAGAGGGGTAGGATTTGTACTCCAAAAATCTTTATATTGAGTTTGTCTCCGCAAGCTTTGGTTCTTTAGATTATGAGTAAATAAATGTCTTTCTTTGTCTTGGTCATCCTGCCGAAATAAGCCAGAGAGAAGCCTGTGAGTAAATGACTGTCTCCTGTCAAACTGACACCGTGGATTCGATGACCTCTCTGGAGGCTGTATACAAGTCAAAAGAAAAAGGAACTCTTGGCTGGAAGTGTTTAAACTCTTACTGCTGGATACACCTGGATTACTGAAAACTTGGCACCCTTTCTCAGAGGTGTACAGTATATACTGCAAATCTTTGTCAAAAGGTGATGGACAATGATTGTCAATGGGCTCCTAGATAGATTGCAAGCCATGTCATCAGTTAAAAACTGCATGGAAAATCCTCTAAAAGGCTGTGAAAAAAAAAAAAATACCCACCATTGACAGCTAAAGTCAGGTAAAGAGATTAAGTTGCTGCCCAAAGTTTGAGGAAGCAACATTTATCACTTCTATAGTCCCAGATACATTTTTAAATAGCTAAAATGAATCATAAAAAGTTTCAACCCTTTTGTCACAAAGGGAGAAATGAACCAAACCAATGATTTTTAAACTGCTATTCAGTACCAGGGTTTATTTATCAGTCCTTGGATCGAAAGAAATACCTGACCAAGTAGTTTGACCAACCAGCCTATGCCAGCTTCAATGAAAACAGCAGTTATTCATTTTTTCACACAGTATCTATGCTACAGATTGGGCTTACAGGCCACAATTAGGGAGTTCTGCTTCACTTTAAGTGCTGTAATTAACTTGTTCATTAGCCACAGGTGGTATCTATTTTTATCAAACACCTGCGTTGATACATCCTCAGTGATTAAGTCCTTGATATCCGTAGCAGCAGACAAAAGTAGGGACTAGCCAACATGATGGAACCATTTACCCAATTCAATCAACTTTAATTGTAAAGTACAATTTAGGAAATAGTTATGGTGCTGCACAGAAAGATAATAAGCAGAAATAATATTAAAGAATAAAACAAATAAAAGCCAGAAGATCACATACAAGGACAGTAAAATCTGATCAGTAGACCTCAAAGACCTTGAAGGAGTGTAGACATTGACGAGGTCAAAGATATACTGTGGTGCTATTTCATTTTAAGGTTTAAAAACACATAAGATCTTAAAAAGAATCCTAAAATGAACAGTGAGGGGAAGTAAGGATAGACAGGACTAACCCACATTTTGAAAGAACGTAACATAGAATCACAACATAACCTTATCATTGTCCACACCTCATATCTTTGTTAGGGGGCAGCACAAGTGGTTAATGTTGAATCTGATTGGGGTACAGACAGTGGGGTGTTGGGGTGTAGACACTAAAAAGAGCATGGGAGAGATCGTAGCTGATGAACAAGATGCAAGATAACTAACATTAAAAGTGGCTCACTATGACCTGCCATACTGCTGATTGTTTGTAGGAGACGGAGGTACAGCCTACACCCACAAAGCCATAGTTCAAGCTGTGCTTTCATTCAGGACATAGGACTGCTTGCTTTTCAGTTTTAATCAAATCAGAGAACAAAAATTTAACAACACTGACACCTCTTTATTCTAATTTCATAACTTTTTTTCTAACCATAGTAAAACCAAACACAACCAATTGTTTTGACACAAACATGACTTCAACATGAAACGTTTCATTCTTTATTAGTTTAAGTGAAATAACATAGTTTAACCCTTATTGCTTCTATAGAAACAAAAACACTGCCTGTCACTTGACAGTAAAATGATACATATCTCTAACACACTTTTCCCATGACTAAAGAAACATATTAAAACAAAAAGTAGCCGGACATACTTTCCCCCCTTAGCATGCTGTATGTGGTTAACTAACTATAACTTATGAGAAGTGTGTGCAGGGTCACACACTTCTCACTCTCTCACACACACACACACACACACACACACACACACACACACACACACACACACACACACACACACACACACAACCAGGCCATGTTTGACTTCTCCTTTGGGTCTTGGTTTTTTTTTTGTTTGTTTGTTTTTTTCTTAGCAGTGTTTGTCTGTAGCAGCTTAGCAGTGCTTAGCTACATGGCACATCAAGGCACATCTGGGCTGGTGAGCAACCAAGGGTAGATCTCAATTATTATAATTTTGTTTTATTTATCATTTTGGGTCACACAGAACAGAAAAAAAAAAAAAAAAAAAACACTTTGACTAAAGGGCACTTTGGGCATCAAGGGGCGAAAAGGCCAACTTGTTTTAAGAATACTTTAGGCTTTGATATCCTCATGATGGTTAAATAAGGATTTCAGTGGGCCTTCATTGTTTCTTTTTAAGAGGAGATAGATTTGTGTATCATCTGCATATATGTGGTAAGAGACATCGGGCTCTATTTTCATGTCCGCCGGTGAGGCGGAGGGTGGTGGACCCCACGCAGTGGTATTTTTGTCTGGCGGAGCCTGGAGTACAGCCAGTTTGGTAGTTTCGTGGACTGAGGCACACGAGGTCCGCCAAGTTGGGTGTGGTTGCGTGGCAGAGGGAGGTTTTGACAGAATCAGCTGCTGCAGTGACATTTCCGTGCTCACCGGTGGCACATAAAGTGCGCAGAAAGCTCGCAGATTCAAACCTGGTCAGCTTTCAGCGCAGGCGGAGCGCAGCTCGTCTAGTGGTATTTTGGTAGACCGGCGGCATATCAGCATACGTCACAGATGCTTCACCGGCAGGTTTCCACAGTGTCAGGCACATTTCAGTGCAATAAATAATGAACAACAACTAATAATCTGAGTCAGCACATACATTTAGATCTATACAGATATATTCTGATCTATATCTGATCTGTTGAGTGCGTTTGGCACGCCTTTGGACACACAACCTGACCGAATCAACACAGCTGAAACCGCATTAAATTATATTAAATATCTAGTAAATAGACACACATGATGAAGTTAACAAGATATGTAATTCATCTCCCTCCTTTTCTTTCTTCCTCTTCCTCTTATTTCTCGCGCAGCTCGACCTGGACATGTCTCCGTGTCCTCTCCCCGTCATGCTGCAGCTGCAGCTGCTGCTGCAGTGGCTGAACAGATGATTTGTTTCAGTGATCAGATGAGTTATTTACTTTAAGCCTACATACAAATATTATAATATTCAGTTTTGTAAGCCAAATTTATTTTATATGCCAACATCTATGAAAGAAAGAGCCAGGCCACGGAGCGCAATGCGTCATTACGTACAGGTGGTTGCGATTTTAATGCCATTATTGGAATTTATGTTGTGATCTCTGCGCACAACCCACCATTGTCACGTGAGGTTTGAATATATGCAACTTTATGTGAGTGTCTTTATTTGTGGAAAAGGGTGTTTGTCTTACTAGTGGCTCCAATATTACACACACTAAATCCCTCTGTGCTTATATGAGAGAGTGTGAAGGATGCCCTCTGCAGTGTTTACAGCAACACTTGTTGAGGAGCTGCCTTCTGTCACCATCGTGTAGCATTGCTGTCTTCAAACATCTCTTGATCTTTTTGACTACTTAACGTTGCCTGGTGAACGTTCCAGGTGAATGTGATAAAATGCAAACAGTATGGGCCCAACAATCTTAATACCCAAACAATGGTCTGGGTGAGAGACAGAGATGTGTAATCATCTGTTTCAACAGCAGCAGTTAGATGTAAAAGCATTACAATGGCAGCATCACCAGAGTCAGTGGTCAATACGAGATAATTACAAGGTCAGCCTGATCTTTATTTAGTTAAAACAGAAGAATCCAAATGGGGTTTTTGCTGTTGTGCGTCAACATGCCAAATAATCCATTCCTGTAGGTTTAAATATTCTCTTTTCTCAAACACTGAGAGTAAGGACATGTTGGCTTAGATATGGGGTTGGGAGTGGTTGATTGACACTCACTGGTCTGTAGTCCACAAGAATCATTAGTGACTGATTACCTCCCCCTCTTGCAGACAGCCAATCATCTCCAGCCATTTTCCTGCAACATAGTCAATTCCACTCAGTCCTGCTCAATGAAAACACAACACAGCAGGCAAGACTATGGCAACAAAACTTAATGATTTATAAGAGAGACCAAACCTGCAGAGGGCTGTGTTGACCACTCCTTGTAGAGATGACTTTGCCCTGAGAGGGATTTGTGGCTGAAAGTGAAACTTCATAAGATCAATAATGTCAGGGACTGTCAATAATGACTTGCATATGTTTATTGATATGCTGACAACCCAAAGAATGGCTTGTTTGTCCAAAGGCTTACGACAGATCAATAAGCTTGTTGAAGTTCAGTGACATTACATGTTCACTGGCCTTCACAGGACTTAATGATGTGTTGCTGCAGTCATATATCTCAGTGTATTTCCCCTCTGGTGTCAGCTGCTAAGAATGCAAGAATAGTTAGATTTAGTCAAACACCTGTAAGTTTAGGACAGGTACATTTACATCAAGAAAACTGAATCAATCTGTTTATTTGGTATCAGTCTGACCAAGGATTCATATAGTCTCTGACAGCAGCACAAAACCACCTCATCAGGAAACATTTATTAAATTGTGTATACCTGATGCCCCCTTTCTTTGAAGAAAATGCTGAAAATTTTCACAGTAATTCAGACAATTTTTTAGAGTGCCTCATGCAAGTGTTTTCTAAAGAGTGAAGTCACCAAAATGACCTCAAAAGCGTATTTTTTGCTTCATGCCAAATTAAGACAAACATGTTGGAAACATTTTGGGGCCATTTAAAAACGTTAAGATTTTATATTATTAATTCAGCTTTGTTTCTGTTGGTTCTTCTCTCCGCCTCTTTGTTTGCATGTTAGTTTTGGTAGTCCACATTAGCTTTATTGTAGGCTAGAAGTGACTCTACCAACCAAGTTGACCTATTCCCTGATTTAAAATTGAGGGCTCTATTTTCGTGTCCGCCGGTGATGCGGAGGGTGGTGGACCCCACGCAGTGGTATTTACGTCTGGCGGAGCCCAGCGTACAGCCAGTTTGGTATTTTCGTGGACTGAGGCGCACCAAGGTCCGCCAAGCTGGGCGTGGTGGTGTGGCAGGGGGAGGTGTCGACAGAATCAGCTGACGCAGTGACATTTTCGTGCTCGCCGCCGGCATGTAAAGTGGGCTGAAAGCTCGCTGATTCAAACCTGGTCAGCTTTCAGCGCAGACGGAGCGCAGCTGGTCTAGTAGTATTTTGGTAGACCGGCGGCATATCGGCATACGTCACAGATGCCTCACCGGCAGGTTTCCACAGTGTCAGGCACATTTCAGTGCAATAAATCATCATCAACAACTAATAATCCGAGTCAGCACATACATTTAGATCTATATCGATATATTCTGATCTATATCTGATTTGATAAGCGCATTGGCACGCGTTTGGACACTCAACCCGACCGAACCAACACAGCTGAAACCACATTAGATTAAATTAAATATCTAGTAAATAGACACACATGATGAAGTTAACAAGATATGTAATTCATCTCCCTCCTCTGTCTCTTATTTCTCGCACAGCTCGACCTGGACATGTCTCCGTGTCCTCTCTTCGTCCTGCTGCAGCTGCTGAACAGATGATTTGTTTCAGTGATCAGATGAGTTATTTACTTTAAACCTACATACAAATATAATATTCAGTTTTGTGAGCCAAATGTATTTTATATACGAACATCTATGAAGGAAAGAGCCAGGCCACGGAGCACAATGTGTCACAGATGGTTCCGATTTTCATGCCATTATTGGAATTTATGTTGTGATCTGTGCGCACAACCCACCTTTGTCACGTGAGGTTTGAATATGTGCAACTTTATGTGAGTGTCTTTATTTGTGGAAAAGGGTGTTTGTCTTACCAGTGGGTACAACCTTACACACACCAAATCCCTCTGTGCTCATATGAGAGTGTGAAGGACGCCCTCTGCAGCGCTTACAGCGACACTTGTTGAGGGGCTGCCTTCTGTCGCCATCGTGTAGCATAACTGTCTTCAGCCATCTCTTGATCTCTTTGACTAATTTACGAAAATTGTAATACGCCTAGTTGTTGGCAGATTTAAAGGCGAGGAGAGGAGCTGATGTTATTGGTGAAAACAGGTCTGGGCTGTGTTAAATCCACTCCACGCCCTCTCTCCTCCCTCCCCACGACTTACGCAGCTGGGAGGAGCTGAGTTAGGGAGGGGGGATACTTACGCCAGGCTGCGCTGCTCACCACTACTTACACATTAGCGTTATTCGCAATGTCAACATCGCAACCAGAGGGAGGAAACATAGATATTCTGTGTTATTAATTTTTAAAGTTTGTCCACAGCTCCAGAGGGATTGCTGGAAGAGGCGGGGTTTATGACCTATACAGCAGCTTGTCACTAGAGGGTGCTGTTCTTCACCCAGTGAGGAGGCAGATGGCATCCATTCTATATACAGTCTATGGGCTCTATTTTCGTGTACGCCGGTGAGGCGGCAGAGGGTGGCGGACCCCGCGCAGTTGTATTTTCTTCTGGCGGAGCCCGGCGCACAGCCAGTTTGGGTATTTTCGTGGACTGAGGTGCACGGAGGCGAGCCGAGATCGGCCAAGCTGGGTGTGGTGGCGTGGTAGGGGGAGGTTTCGACAGAATCAGTGGGCGCAGTGACATTTTCGTGCTCAACAGTGGCATGTAAAGTGCGCTGAAAGCCTCACCGGCAGGTTTCCACAGTGTCAGGCACATTTCAGTGCAATAAATCATCATCAACAACTAATAATCCGAGTCAGCACATACATTTAGATCTATATATATATATATATTTTCTGATCTATATCAGATCTGATGAGCGCGTTTGGCACGCGTTTGGACACACAACCTGACAGAATCAACACAGCTGAAACTGCGGCAGATTTAAAGGCAAGGAGGGGAGCTTATGTGATTGGTGAAAACAGGTCTCGGCTGTGTTAAGACCACTCCACGCCCTCTCTCCTCCCTTGCTACGACTTACGCCGCTGGGAGGAGCTAAGTTAGGGAGGGGGGATACTTACGCCGGGCTGCGCTGCTCACCAAAATACCAAATTGTGCTCGGGAACGCCTTGTTGGCGCGGTGGACCTGACTTACGCCGCGCCTGCACGGCACGTCTCCGGCGAGGCACGAAAATAGAGCCCTATGGGTTAATCACATTACCCTCAAGTTTTATCTATTCATTTCCCTCTTGCGTCACAATACTTCCCACCAAAGATGCATGAAGATATTCAAAGAAACAAAACATGGAAGAATAAGAACACAGAGATTTGACATCAGGTCATGTCTGTTGCATTGTTTATTTCCAATATTTCTACATCAGATTTTTTTGCAGTTAAATCTGTTGGATAGTGAAACAGGAAAAAAAATAGATAAAGCTCAAATGTAATACCATGTCATGATGAATTTATAAAACTTAAGCTCAGTATTTTGAGCATAAATAATTAAAAAATATAATTTTTGCATTAATAAAATGCATATTTTATTTTCACAAATCACAACCCAGATGTCAAGAAACCATCCTTTTTTATATATACCTTTTTCAAGGCACTCCTGGGTGACTGTTTTAAGGCCTGGCTTTGTTACAAAACTCTCATGATGTTTAGGTTTGGATAAGTTTGTGAAGCTGCATCATCCAACTAGTGAGTGATATTAAAAAAGCCTGTCTCTCAGTAGACTTCTGTGTGAAGTGCTCCCATGTATCCTTGCTTATCACTTCTCTGCTTTCCCTCATCTCCCCTTGATCTCCTTTTCCTTGAACAGTGACGAGGGCGTAAGCATGATGCTTGTCACGGCGGGTCTATTCATACTGTTCAACTCTCTCTGAGCCTGGACTGACACTTAATTTATTGAGAATCTGACTGGCCCTAATTTAAATGTACTTTTTTGAAAGATTTTTAAGGAAGACCTTTTTGGACTGTTTTTACCGTCATGTAATACCTCAAGAGAGATAGAAAATGAAGCTAAGTTAAAATGACATGCAACAAATCCTGAAAATCAAAGGGAATACAGAAATACTTAGCCTCTTCACATGGGCACCTGCTTAACCATCACCACAATGAGCTAAAATCTTAAGAAGTTACATGACTGTGCACAATTGCTTGAGTGCTCAGACTTCCTCTTTATAGTCAGATGCAGTCATTGATTGTTTCACAGTGCAGGCTCTAGAGGTGTTTGATGAACTCATAACATAAACACCTGCAGCCCACTGTTGATCAGAATTTTAACCAACTAAACAGCTTGCATTGTTACTGTTCACTAGTAGCGAGTGTCAGAAACTATCAAAGAAACTTCTGTGTATTTCTTTACTGTGTGCATCCTAAATAGATGTCTGTAAAAGGTTTGAGTTCATCCCCCCCAGTGGTTGCAGCTTCAGATAATATTGCTCTGCTTGCATTGGTTGCATAATCTTCAAAACAAGAAAAGACTATTCAGCTGATTCTGAACAGTATGACATATGAAAATACATACGGGTGAACCCATGTGTTGGACATTACTCGAAAAGGTTTAACTTCTTGATCTGATGAAAATATGGCTCAATTTAAAACAACAGCAGCCCAGCAAAGATGGATGGCTGAAGTCTCAGCAAATCTCACCCATGCCTCAATACTATCAATGTTATCATTGGCTGTACTCAACAACTGTATCAGTAAGTGGTATGGTGGCCACAAAACATGGCATGTTGGTGGATGCAATTGCAATGTTTTTTTCAAGCAAATTTAAAGCCCTTTTCCTTCAAGCAGAAGCAGACTGTCTTTTATACTATACAAATCTCTCTCTCTCTCTCTCTCTCTCTCTCTCTCTCTCTCTCTCGCTCTCTCAATGTATATGTGTATATATATATATATATATATATATATATATATATATATATATATATACAGTTCAGGCCAAAAGTTTGGACACACCTTCTCATTCAATGCATTTTCTTTGTTTTCATTACTATTTAAATTGTAGATTCTCAAAACTATGAATGAACACATGTGGAATCATGTGCTTAAGAAAAAAGTGTGAAATAACTGAAAACGTGTTTTATATTTTAGATTTCTAAAAGTAGCCACCCTTTGCTTTTTTGATAGCGCTGCAAACTTTTGCTGTTCTCTCAATGAGCTTCATGAGGTAGTCACCTGAAATGGTTTTTACTTCACAGGAGTGCCTGAAGTAACCCTGACAAGGTACTTCTGTCATCAAGAGCAAAGGGTGGCTATTTTAAAGAAACTAGAATATAAAACATGTTTTCGGTTATTTCACACTTTTTTTATAAGTACAAAATTCTACATGTGTTCATTCATAGTTTTGATGCCTTCAGTGATAATGTATAATGTAAATAGTCATATAAAAAAATAAAGAAAAGACATTGAATGAGAAGGTGTGTCCAAACTTTTGGCCTGTACTGTATATATATATATATATATATATATATATATATATATATGTGTGTGTGTGTGTGTGTGTGTTTATTATTTATTTATAAATAAACTAAAATAAAAAAACACCCTGGCTGAACATCAATCTCGCCCTGCTACCCAGGCAAAATAGCCTTGGCTTCATTTGTCTCTTCACATTAAACAGAAATCACCAGCTGGGTAAAAAGATACCATGGTCTTTTAGTAAGAAACATTTTATTTAACATTAGTTTCCCTAACAGAGGCAAATTACAGGCATCATAAGTGTTTAAATGCAGTGAGCACTCATTAAGCTGTTACAAGGGAGCTGCATCTATTCTTAATGATAAGCCATCACATAGGGTCTATATGAGAGTGTTCTGTTCAAAAAGACCCCTTTGTGTGTCAATGTGCACGAGAGGAAAAAGGCCCTCTATTATAATGTGAACACTATTCAGTTCTCTCTGCTTTGCTCTCTTTATGACCTTTCTTCTTTTTCTTATTGCTCAATTGAAAGGAGTATTTTCTGTTTAAATTTGAGTCTTGCAAGAGTGATGACACTATTTTTGCAGTGATGTGACCAGAATAATGGACAGTGTTGAGAGCTTTTTACATACCTAATGATGGCAATCACTGCAGGTCGTTCAAGGTAACACCCCTACGGAAGAAACTGAAATCATCTCAAAAGAAAAATGAATGTTTCATCATGTTTTTAAAAAGTATTCTGAATTCACATTTATCTGCGACTGCCCATTCCCAGAGTTGCACATCTGCATCTGTACAGGTACATGATAATATTGGTAATACTGTATAATCTGGTAACATACTGGAATAATTCCAACTATTTATTTCGACATAATTTGATGTGTGGTATCTGCCATAAGAGTGGTTGAGGACATCCTGACTTTTGTAGATTGAAAGCTTCCCATATGGTTTCCACTCAAACTTGTTTGTCTAAATTATTGACAAGCAAACAGATAAAATAATGACTTCCTCATGGACTAACCAGGCTATTGAAAAATAAAACCTGTAAATAGGTGTTATGAGACCTACCTACTGTGATTTTCTCTGAAAAATCAAAGTGTTGCTGCATATTTAAAGGATACAGACAGATGTGTCTGTGGATAAATGATGTCAATTTGTGTACAAGTATATTTGTGTACTTTGCACATCCAATGTGCCTAATAGTTTTCCTTGTTGTTCAGTGTGCCCTGGTGTCACTACATTTGTAAGCATGTGAGTCTTTGCCTCTTTTACATGCTCCATGTTTCATATATGACATTCAAGTATGATGTAATCAACAGCTCTCCTGCTTGGTAACGGCATTTGTAATCTTTGAGACCAGACTAAAAGAGCCATTCTACTGTAGTCATATGTTACCTGACCGGCACACTCCTAAAACCCTCTCATTTACATTTAGAGTGAATGCCGCTCTGTCAGTGAGGCCCTTTTCCACTCGGACAAAGCCCCTCACAGCCTCTCTGCCTCCTACTTTGCAGTGCACAGGGAGTGAAACAATAGTCTGTTGAGATAGGGAGGCATCAGACGCACTAATTTGGTGTTATGGCAAAGTCCTTACCAGAATGATAAGTATTATTTTGCAGGGCGGATCGAAAAGACTGCGACACAGTGTGTCGAAACTGCCAAAATTGAACTTCTTTTCTATGAATTTTAAAATGGAGCTTGAATGAGTCCATATACTTCTACTACTTGAGGAGCTTTTTATATCAAGGACCTCAAAATGGGGCCACATTAGTCCACAGGAGCGAAGAGTTTGATCATTTAGTTTAACCGTAATGACTGCTGAGGGAGAACATAATAATCACAAAACAAGACAAAGAGTTTTCACAGTGAGGCTGTCACATGAGAGGCTGGTATTCTCCATCAGAAGTGTTCCTGAGGTGGCCTTAAAGCGCTGTTTAAACCTCTCCTTCAGACCTGTCCAACCGCTGAGCTAGACAGGCTCAGTATGATTGCAGTTACTTTCTGAAACTGACATCCACACCCACTTCAGCTGCAATTTGGAGAGGTGAGAAAGTTCGCCATGTTTGAACTTATCAACCTGCTTTTTTTTCAACTCGACCAAACTACTTCTAGTTTTATCTTAAGGAAAACTCTCTCCGGGGGTCGACTTTTTAGTGATGTGGGTATGGTTTGCTTTTGACTTTTACAGGACTAAACTGTAAGATGACCAGAATAGAACAGGAAGATCAAACGAAAGGCTCACAGTAAATAGTTAAAAAGCGAAAAAAAAATATTCAGGGTGGTGATGAAAACTGCAAGCTGGACACTCACACATAAACAAGGGTTTGAAGACAAGACTGCAGAGAAAATAAGAGAATCAGACCAAATACAAAAGGCTGGTGGGGCTACACAATCACATACAGTAGATGGGAAAATCACAAAGGTAGTTAGTTAAATTACTGACACCAGAGGGAAGAGTGAAAATAAAACAGGAAAAGATGATAAAAATAACCACTTACAGCCTGTGACCAATGATCAGCAAAATAATTCACTTCTCTAGTATAACTTGGATGGCAGGAACTTTGTGTAACATGCCAACATCTTTTTGTCAAAGGACTGGTACAGAAAATCAAATGTTAATCAATCTTAGTAAATTTGATTTTCTGTCGATGAAAGATAAAACCGGTGTTAACTCCTATTTTCTGCCAACGTCTGCCCCCATCTTTGTTGACTTCTTTATGTTTTTGTTTTTTGGACAGAAACTTAGATTCACCCTCTACTGATACATGATCAGTATGATCCTCTATCTGTCTGGTTTTCAGGATCACAAACCTTGTCCATACAAATTTATTTGCACTTAACAACTACCAATTTTACTCTGTCCTGTCCATTGTATTACCAGTGTGTCTGGCTTAGCCACCCAGAAATGAACAAACTGCATTTGGTTCCCGCTAGTTTGTCCTTTCTGAGCTCCTGTAGAAAATATGGCAGTGCAACATGTCAGCCTTTGAAACAAAGACCTGCTGTTTCTATAATATTATGGACTTTATCTGAGCATAGGTTGTATATACTGTGGACAACTTGGCTCCACCCTCCACCATTATACGAATTTGAAGCAGTATTTCTGGGATCTTCTCCACTTCCTGGAACCACCACTTGTGTAGTAGCTTTGTACGTGTTCGGCGGGAGAGTTGCTGTGATGACGCTCTGCTCAGACAGCATATCCCCCAGGTGAGCAATGCAATTTTCGTACGCTCATAGCCTGTATCAAGCGTCAGTCATAGAAAACATGCACCCCCTAATAACTTTTAAAAATGGAGCTGCACAGAAAAAAAAGGACTTGAGGACAGTCTTACAGTCATACAGTAACTGCATGTCAACATTGCAACCAGGGGGAAGCATTTATATTCTGTGTTATTAATTTCTAAAGTTTGTCCACAGCTCCATAGGGATTGCTGAAGGAGGCGGGGTTTATGACCCATACTGCAGCCCGTCACCAGAGGGTGCTGTTCTTGCGGTGGCTTCACCCAGCGAGGAGGCAGACTGCATCCATTCTGTATACCGTATGTTTCTGAGTCATAAGAAATTAATAATAATGATATTTCATTCAATATAAAATTTTTCAACAAACTTCTGTATAATGTATTCCATTTTTGCGGAAAAATTGTGCTAAATTATTCACAATATACCTTTAAATAAACAAAAAAAATTACTTTGTTGCCCCATTTCTTGACATCACTCATTTCATCACAGTCAAAGCTTTAATGGTTTGCAAAATATTGAAAGCTCTTCATTAAACCAAAGATTTTCCCTAAAGAACAGATCAAATCTTTAAATAGATGCTTCAAAAAAAAGAAAGAAAAAAAAAGTTAACCCTGAAATAAGGGAGTCTCCGTGTTTCCAGTTCCAAGAAGAGAGGTAAGTAAAACTCTGAGTCACTGACCATGGCAACTGACTCTATGAAGCTAACCTGCTCCCTACCAGGTTTTCCATAAAAAACCCTGAGTTCAGCCTGCCTCTTTCCTTCTGCAGAACGTAAGTTAAGACATGACTTACCCATTTGAGGGAAATCTCATCGACATCAAGGCACAAATAATTTGTGCTGTCTTACATGGGGAGAGGCGCCTCAGACCTTGTCTGGATCTTTCATTCCCAAGAGAGTTCTTGGTAGAGCGGTACTACAACAAAAGGAATTCCACAGGATTGCAGGAACACCGTGTAGCAATCACTTGATGTCAATGACAACATTTCTGAATTAAGATTTTTTTTTTCTATAATGTATTCAATATTATGTCCGAGACGTTCTGCTGCAACCTTTCATTAAGATCAGCAAGTAGCCATTATTTTGCAGGGCTCCCGAATGTGCTAGGATGCATAGATGGCACCCAAATACCCATCACCGCTCCAGCAGTAAATGAGGGGGACCATGTTAATAAGAAGTCCTTCCAAAGTATAAATGTTAAGGTACTTCACTTCTCATCTTAAAGTGACGGGACTATAAACCATATGACAATGCAACTTTAATGTCATTCTCTGCACATTTAAGATCATTTGCAATGCTGGACATATAATAACAAATGTGGAAGCAAAGTGGCCAGGCTCTGTCTATGATGCACGGATCTACCTTGAGAATAGACTGAGCAACAGATTTTCACGTGGTAAGTAGTCCAAAGTGTGCAAATATTAGTCATTGTCTTTCTCCTAACACAACTGGATGTATTAATTGCAGAAGAGTTTGATGGCCACCTGCTTGGGGACCGAGGATATCCATGCCAGCCCTCTCTACTGACCCCTTACCCTGACCCAATTGGGTCCACTGCAGGACTAGAGCCCGGGTTGAGATGACCATTGGCATTCTCAAATCTGGGTTACGGTGTCTGCGTAAATGTGCGTTTCACCCCTGTGGAATTGCACCTACATGAAAATAAATATAATTCAAAACCACTTTTTCAGCATGTATGCTATGATTTGAGGTTAAATCTTAAATTAATTGACCATAGTGCATTTTCACTCACGCATTGACTCTTTCTGTAATTTTCTCCCATGCAGCTTCTCTCTCTTTCGTTGCGGTGTTGCTCTTTTTCATAAAAATAAATTTATACTCATCGTATGATGTCATTAAAATTTTTAATTCTATCGGCGTGAAATATGCGGCTTGATTCTTCTTCGTGGCCATGGTTGCAATGTTACATCACAGTATTGGTGCTCCATTGATGATGGCTTTTTGTACTGGCTGTGCACGCGCTCAACCCAAGGTGAACCTACTCAGAATTGATTGACCTAATTCATATCAACTGTTCTGGAAACGGATACTCAAAGTTTCCCATCTCAGGGTAAGTTAACCTCAAACCCACAATTAGACTCAGAGTTTGCTGAACTATCTACCTGGAATACCCCCCAGTTCCTTTTCAAAGTGTCCAGTATGGCCCCATATGTGGACAAGCTAACATAGTTTATGTCAACAATGTTTTTCAGTGGTGGAGCTACTGCATGGATGATTGTTGTGAGTCACAGCCAAAACAGAGCACAGTTTGAGGTGGTCAGACACTACAGTATAGTATACACCACAATAAGAGATGTTGTATGTCTATGCAGCCATTTTTTCATTCAAGTTTTAGTCCCCCTGATGTTGTTCTTGCAGACTGACAATGTTCAAACGGTGATGGTGCCAGATACTGAATTTATTTATATATCACACACGTCTGTAGTCTGAAAGTAGAAAACTGTCAAATGTTAATAGACTTTACTTCTTAGTGATGTTACAGTGTAGCTCTTTAGTTTTTTGTCAGTCATTTTTTGCACAGATTTTTTGTCAGTGAGGCCAGGATCAGGATCAAACACACCGAGAAGAGGAGTCAGAGTATCCTGTGTGATTCATCCAATATGGAGGACAAATGGACTCAAATTGCCAACCCACAGTGCCTGCAAAGATAGAAGCACTTATAGTTTTATAGTTCAAATCCTTTATTTTTTAGACACCTCTGAAACCACATACTGAGACAGAAGAAGGTTCACTGAGGTATGTAAGAGGATTTTACCTATTAGCATAAAAAAAATTGACCAGAAAAAGGGGGGTAAAAAAGGAGTCCATTAATAATTTAGAGTGCAGAGGAGGAAAAATAAACAAACAAACAAATAAACAAACAAAAAAGGCAACAACAACATCAGCATCCAAAACTTATTTGTTAGTACTTAAGCTGAGGTGATCATGAGGTGTGGATCATTGAGTAATGTAACTTTTATTACACGTTACTTTCTGAGGTTGCAGCGAGGCAGCAGAGGAGCAAGGGTGCTTCGTCTTTGCAGGAAGCACTAATTATCCCTCCAAGAGATAATAACTGTATTTATCGTCTGAGGTGTTCGTCTTCTGAAGGGTTATTTATCAAATACCATGTGGGATTAGAAAATCAATTCCAAGTGTCACAAATTAATTTGCAGCCATCATCTCACTTGTTCCCATGAGACGTCAGGCAGCAGAAGCACCTTACTAATGCTGAGAATATAGCTGGATTGATTTATTTTTCCACATCCCGCATGTCTGATGAAGATGGCTAATGCCAGCAGATGAATGAGTGTTTACCTGCTGAAGTCTCTGTTGCTGTCATGGTTTTTACTGAGTCACAAATACAGACATTTTGACTGGTATCATGCACATTATAGTTGAAGCAGCAGAGCTGAATTATAGCCAAAACATTTATGTTTGCAGCCAAGTACAGTGTGAATGTTTTCCCTCATAACGTCCTTCATTAGTTTAATCTGATTGGATATTCTGGCATTTCCCACTGAATCACAGCCAAATGGATTCTGATTCGCACCGCAGCTTTTCTGTCATATAACTCAATCCCGTAGGGTTTAGTGGATGTCTCACACTTACAGGAGATGGCACACTAGCAGCTGCTGTCGACATTATTAAAAGTAAAATCAGTTTTTCCTCATGTGGTGGTGTATAGAGATAATTGTTATGTTTGATGAGAAATACAGATAAGCTACAGAGTTTTATGTTGTACATTATTTATACATGAAACGCATTTATGCAAAAGCTGCACTCAGAGTAGGAATCTAACATTTAAAAAAACAAACTGAACATGTTCCCTATGCTATCCCACTGCAGCCCTGTCTACAAACTCTGTTGATGTAGTACTAATTTAAATTCACAGGTGTACTGTGACGAGAAACATGATCATTGCCTGCAGTAAGGTGACAGTATTTACCAAAGTAAACCATTTTTGTGCCACCACAGGTCCAATCTATCATTGGATTTAAGTACCAAAGACCACAGATCAGAGACACATTACAGACTTTCATTAATGTTAACAGTCAACCTCTGATTTCTGATGTTTGAAGTTGCAGCAGACTCTACCTTCATCTAACCTAGCTGTGCTCCAAGTCATGTTAAAATGCTGCAGGAGTGGTGGATTATTGATTTCTAAAAATAGCTTTTCAGTGATAAAATAGAGGATACATCCTTAGTGGAAATTTCAAGTCTTTCAACATTTTTGGACTTGTCTCTTTGATGTATCACTTTATATTTCTGAGTGTGTTAGTAATATTTGCTGTTGTAATTGGACATCTTTTAGACCTGATATTATCGTATCATTTCAGGTCTGGAGCTGTTGTCTCAACATTTTCATAATTTTTATAAATACACTAAGCCAATCACAGTCCTTTTTTGAAAGGTTCTGTACAGAACTTTTAACTAGATTTAAAAAGTGTCTTGCTTCTCCTGATATATCTATGTCACCGACAACAGCAAATGAGCCCATCGGAGGGAAGATATTTCTTAATAGTGTAACTCCTACTTTCAAAATTCGTTGGTCGGGTCTGCCCACTGATGAAACGATTAGCGGCTACTTCTAGACAGGTATCGTAAGCTGCACTTTTTTAAACTGCTGGCTTATTGATATGAAGATATAACATTACCAAGGAAAGCTGACAACTTTAGGTTTATATACTAATCCATGGCTGGGTTATCTAATCTTTTTGTTGTAGGTTTACTGTTACGACCGGGACATAACTGAAGGCTGAAAATACAAGTCACAAGAATACAACATCACTACGTTTCACCGGTGGTATCTTCTATTTCATAGAAATGCAAATAAATACATTACCTCATCACTACGCATCCTACAGATTGAAAAAAAAAAAAAAGATCAAAGTACAGGTTAGTCTCAGGGCCTTATTTTCGTGTCCGCAGGTGAGACGGCGGAGGGTGGCGGACCCCGGGCAGTAATATTTTCATCTAGCGGAGCCCAGCGTACAGCCAGTTTGGTGTTTACGTAGACTGAGGCGCACCGACCGGGCGTGGTTGCGTGGCAGAGGGAGGATTCGACAGAATCAGCTGCCGCTGTGATATTTTCGTACTAGCCGGTGGCGTATAAAGTGCGCTGAAAGCTCGCCGATTCAAACCTTTTCAGCTTTCAGCGCAGCTCGTCTAGTGGTATTTAGGTAGACTGGCGGCTTATCAGTATACGTCACCGATGCCTCACCGGCAGGTTTCCACAGTATCAGGCACATTTCAGTGCAATAAAAAATCAACAACAACTAATATTCTGAGTCAGCACATACATTTAAATCTATATAGACATATTCTGATCGATATCTGATCTGATGAGCGCGTTTGGCATGCGTTCGGACACACAACCTGACCGAATCAATACAGCTGAAACCGCATTAAATTAAATTAAATATCTAGTAAATAAACACACATGATGGAGCTAACCAGATATGTAATTCGTCTCCCTACTTTTCTTTTTTCCTTTCCTCTTATTTCAGCAGCTCCACCTAGACATGTCTCCGTGTCCTCTCCCCATCCTGCTGCAGCTGCTACTGCGACTGCTGAACAGATGATTTGTTTCAATGATCAGATGAGTTATTTACTTTACGCCTACATACGAATATTATAATATTCAGTTTTGTGAGCCAAATTTATTTTATATGCCAACATCGATGAAAGAGCCAGGCCACAGAGCGCGATACGTCCTTTACGCAGAGATAGTTCCGATTTTAATGCCATTAGTGGAATTTATGTTGTGATCTGTGCGCACAACCCACTTTTGTCACGTGAGGTTTGAATATATGCAACTTAGTGTGAGTGTCTTTATATGTGGAAAAGGGAGTTTGTCTTATTAGTGGCTCCAACATTACACACACCAAATCCATCTGTGCTCATATGAGAGAGTGTGAAGGACGCCCTCTGCAGCGCCTACAGTGACATTTGTTGAGAGTCTGCCTTCTGTCGCCACCGTGTGGCATTGCTGTCTTCAGACATCTCTTGATCTCTTTGACTACTTCTCGAAAATAGTAATATGCCTCGCCGGTGGCGGGTTTAACGGCGACGAGAGCAGCTGATGTTATTGGTCAATACAGGTTTCGGCTGTGTTAAACCCACTCCACACCCTCTCTCCTCCCTCGCTACAACTCACGCCGCTGGGAGGAGCTGAGTTAGGGAGAGGGGATACTTACGCCGGGCTGCGCTGCTCACCAAAATGCCAAGTTGTGCTTGGGAACGCCTTGTCAGCGCAGCGTACCTGACTTAAGCCGCGCCTGCACCACGTCTCCAGCGAAGCACGAAAATAGAGCCCTCAGTGTGTTTCATTGGCTTCCAAAACAACGAAACAGCTAGAACAAAGACCTTGTATATGCCTTCACGACAGTACGCACAAAAACTCATGGGAAATGCAGTTATTATTCTGGCAAAACACTACCCCTTTTGTCCATAGTGGCCACCAGCTGCTTTAAGATGACATGTACATCATAGTCCCAGTCAGTGACTGCAGCTGGAAGAAACCCACACGTGTCACATACAAGACAAGAGTTTTCTGGCACATTTTAAAGGACTGAAAATGTTCAAAGTAAGATCTCACTGACATGTACGAGTCAAGCTTTTTTCAAAATGTGCTAGATTACGCAGTAGCATTAACCCCATCTGCAGAGGTTGAAAGCATTGCTTCTGTTCTGGTCCTCTGGCCACTTCCTCAACAAAGGAGCCTAGCTGCATACATACTGTGGCTAATACCAGTAATATTGACATGCACTTGGTACAGCTCACTTTAAAACAACTACTAATCCCTTCAGGGTTGTCCTTAATACACACACTTTCAGATTCGAGAAAGCTAAAGAGATCAGTTATAGATAAGATAAGATAAGAAGTTTATTAAATCCAAAGGGGAAATTTGATGGTCTGGGATCACATGTCAGAAGTGGTGTGTTATCCATTATTTACAGTCAATTTGTGGAGTCTGATTGCTGTAGGTACAAAATAGGGCTGGGGCGATTCATCATCGTAGTCATTATAATCGACTACATAATTACATAGACGTAAAGACATGCATCAATGCGTAGCATGATAGTTACGTAGACAATGGATATTTAAGGTACCAGTGGGAGAGTGGATGGCAAATGAGTTCCACCTAAAGGGGCCCATTTAAAACTTACTTTGTCATGATTTTAAGCAGCTCCTCTAAGCCCATGCCTGCATTCTTCCTCGTTTCCTCCTTCCTATTTCTGGGATCTTGCTGCTTTTAAGGAGACATACAGTGACCCCTCAATAGGATACCCCATAACCGGTGCAGTTAGCGCAACAGTTAATGCTGCATTATCCGCCCAGCATCCTGTGTCTCACTCATTCACCTTGCTTTTATTTGTTTTTGCAGTAATTTTAGATTTAGAGAGTTAAAAAAAACAAGTCTCTCCAAGCTGTGAAACTTATCAACAGTTGTGATGAAGGCAGACAGCTTAGCACATGCCGAACCAGATTCTGAGGCTTGAAGAAGTGGGTGAGCGATGGCTGGATGCTGGACAGTGCTTTCAGGATGGGATTGTTGTTCCACGTCCGCGGTTCTGGTGGCTGGGATTGGGCTGCGGCGCCGTTGACGCAGTGGCTGAAGCTGGAACTGCTGTGACACTGCGGGAACAGTGTTTCTCTTCTCAGTCACTTTTCTAGAGACAGAGGAGAAAGAGAGAACTGCCAGTGGAGGCTCTATGTGGATATTTTCCATGAACAAGGTGAAACGCTCTTGCTGTGAGGCACCATCTGGAGCTGTGATGTTATTTTTAAAGGACTTCCGGGGGCCTGGACTTCATGAAGCTGGGAGAAATAGAAGTTTTACTTGCCAGAGGAGAGCTTGTGCGAAAGAGAATGCTGCTTCATTGCAAGGACTGGCTTCCTCGACCAACTTCCCATTGCTGATGTTGCTCTTCAGAAAAGCAGTCAATCTGCCATGGATCCTCGTCATGGGCAGGGATCAACATGATGAAGACCAAGGTAGGAGAAGCAAAAACGCAGATCTGAGTGTTCTCATGTGTGGGAGCTTGCAGAGTGGATGCAGCCTTGCGGAGTGGATGCAGCCTTGCAGAGTGGTTGCAGCAGGCAGAGTAGGGTGCCATTTTGACACTAGCCAATAAGATGTGAAGAGGGTGATCACCTGGGCTGTCAGCTGACTGAGGGCTGGCTTAAGATCAGCTGACTGTAGCCTTTAGCTTGACTCCGTGACCTGCCTGAACTACCGCTATGCTTTATGTAAGGTGAGCATGCACTTAACAAGGGAGAATGCTAAGTAACCACAACCTGTCAGGCTTGCGCTTCAAGCATGTAAGAGGTTGAACCATGTGTAATGACGCTTGTTGGGATGTCAGTGCCTGATAAATCTCTGTGTTGCTGTTATCCAAAAATGGACACTGTCCAGCATAATTCAGCTGGTAAACCGCGGTGCATGGTATACGTATCTCCCAGCATTTCGTTCAATTGTTTGGCTATGTATTACTTACAGGTGACTTAAGGTAAGCTAAGGAGCGATGTTCAAGTGCTTTGTGAGCATTGATAAAAATGCACTGTTGCACAGCTCTTGTTAATTTCTTTTTGATTTCAAAAGATTCTTGAATATATCAGTGACTTGAATATAAATAAGAAAAGCTCACTATTTTCATTTTGGTCAAATTTATTGTCATTTTTATTGGGTAGTAAAAAATAATCATTAGAATAATTAATAAATTAGTCCATAGATTAGTTGACTAATTGAAAAAACAATCATTAGATGAATCGATCAATTCAAGAAATTGTAATGTGCAGCCCTAGTACAAAAGATCTACTGAATCTTTCTGTCCTGCAGCGAAGAGAGAGGAGCTGCCCACCACCATTGGCTTTTTGATCCATTAAGGTGTTATACAGTGGGTAATCCATGTTCTTTAGCATAGTCTCTATCTTGATCTTTCCACATCACCCACTATTGGCAATTTTCTTTTTATTGTTGTGTCCAGAAGTTGATGTATTCAATAAAACAGTCAGTCTGTCTGTCAGTGTTCATTCTGTCCTCATCTGTTTCCAGCAGCACAGTCCAGTCTGTTGATTCAAAACAGACCAGACTTGTAGCAACTTCTCAGTTTAAGTGCATCATTCTAAATAAATAAATGATTAAATAAGCTTAAAGCTTCCTATGATTTTATTTCAACTAATTTGAGTATTTTACAGGTGTAGAATGTGTAAAATCTCCTCACAGATCTGTTCAGTTTGCATACTTTGAATGTGTGACCTTAATCTCAGTACAGTAAACCAGTGTCTTAAGGACACATATTTGGTGAATTTTTGGCACTGAACAAAAATGGGGATGTTTCTCATGGTTTTCCAATAATCCATTTAAAAAAAGCTGGACATTGCTGATTTTAACCACGTTTTCTGTATTCCATTTACACAAATGTGTGAGTCACCACTTTAACAAAGTTAAAAATGCCTCCATTTCCCACAAATTGATATTATCTTGCCCTCAAACATTATTGAATTTGTTTGTGTTTGCATCTGTTTGTTGCCTGCGGAGCAAGCATCAAAATGTGAGCTATGTGTTCGTCGATTCTGATTCATAGATAAAACAGAGCCTCAGTCTGAGCTGAATGGGTAATCTGTTTATATTACTGCTCCAGGCACTTTCTTTGAATTAGTGCTTTACTCAATAAACACTGCAAAGAGGGAAAAAGTGCCACTTTCTTTTTGACTGTGTTAGAGGGTTGAAAGGATGGCATCTGTCAAATGATCCCTTCAAATCTATTCTGTGAGGGAACAAAAACCCTTCAAATCTACAGAAAAAAAAAATCTTCAGCTCATGGAGTCAATATATCAGGAAACCAAAGGCATGCACAAAACATAGTGGACGACTGAGAAACAAACAACAAGCAGTTCTTACAGCAGTATTTCAGCACCCTTTCTAGGAGAATGGCTCTTTTGAGTGAGCATTTGACAGATGTCCTTTTTTCTCAGCCACTGGCAGCGCTGGAGCCTCGCAGGCTTCATCTATTTGATACCACAGCCATGCCAAGACTCTGGCACACAGCTTCACACTGCATCTGAGATAGCCTTTGTGATGTCTGCAGTTTATGTGACATGAATAAGAAATATCATGCACAGCCTACAGAGGACAGCTGAATAGGATGTAAGGTTGTCTGCTTGGACAGGACTAACAACAGACCAGACAAGGTGTATTTTTAAATCGAAGTCCCGCCGCTGGCTTTTCCTGTCGAAGTGTGTGTGTGTGTGGGGGGGGTACTATCCAACTCGCTACCCTTCTTTCTCCACACACACACATGCACACACACACGCACACTCTTACACACACACACAGAGAGTGCATGTGTGTGTCTGGGAAAGAGCTGTGCAGCTTTCAGAGCTCAGCATGAGAGCATTTGATATTCATAGAAGGGAAGAGAAGGAGAAAGTGAAACAACAGCAGGGGCACTGCCTTACGCGTGATATTACATTGTAATTATGATTTGGATGTAGGCACGCAGGAAGCTCTAAGGGTGCAGTACAAACGTGCAAAAATGTAAGCAAACGCACACAACCATATAGGGACACACACTCCTGCTTGGAAGCACTTGAAACTTCAAACTGCTTGAGTCTGCATCATTTCAGGAGTAATGTGGGATCAGACACCGCCTGGTGCATCCTGCACTTATTTTGAAAGCAGGGAGATGAGGTCGGTGAGCAGGCTGCATATAGCTATCGACAGAGCCGTTCTGATTGGTTTGTTTACCATCAATATTTGCAGATGCCACTCTGGGCGCCTTTGAGAAAATGGATTTTTCAGCATGAAGCAGAATGTTCAGAAAAATCATTGGTATTAGCGCTGCCACAGAGTGAGGGGGAGACATACGCATATATTGGAGGGAGACAGAGGCTCTACACAGGGAGGCACATGCGCACCTGCAAATATTACTGATATCCACAGTCAGGCGGACGGACAGATGGACAAACAGGCAAGAAAGACACGGGGAGAAAAAAAGAGATTATGAACGGCCCAGTAATATCCTGAAAGAGTCTGCTGTCTCAGAAATGACACTTTCTGAGTGCTTTGTGTTGCACACTGGAAATGTTCCAGCAGAATTTTAAATTTGATTTATAAAGATTTTATTTTATTTTTATTTTTTTTTAAGAAAAACAAAGAGCAGAACTGTCAAGCAGCAGAAGAACAAACTAGATATGAAAAGAGAGATTCTGGACAATTGTCCAATAACGAGCAAACACATGCATATGTAGAAATCTGAAATGCACAGTGGTTTCGCTCACATTCCTGTGCGGATTTTTCCATTGGATTAGTAAAGGTTTGAGGAAAGAGAGAGAGAGAGGGGAGGAAAGAAAGAGCTGTCAGACTGCAATGCTGGCACATCTACTCTGCCCCTTTTATCAAAGATAAGTAGTATTGATTTACTTTGGGGCTGTAAAAAGTATTCGTCTTAAGAGCTGACATTTAATAATCTCCACCTAATCCGTGTTTTGCTGGGAGCCTCTTGAGATGCTGGTGAGTCCTCTATTGTTCTCCTGTTCTCTCCTGGCCCTACTGTATATCTAATGAGGGGGACTGACGGCGTTAATCTCCCAATGGCTCATAGCTGTACATCCAGAAGACGCAGGGGTGCAGTGTTTATCAGATAAATGCTGAAGGGGAGCAGCAATTTTTGGGTGCATAAACTCTGATTGACTGACTGCTGTTTGAGAAGATTTCCTGAAGTTGTCCTGGGTCCTATTTTGTTTTTAACTCTGTGTCTACAGGTGTGAGAGTTTGGGGTTTTTAGTATTACACCTTCATAATGCTACAGCTCCTTATATCCCCTGCAAAGAGATGAAAAAAATCCCAGCAATGCGGTTGAACAAGTAACTGCCTTATTAATATTTATACTCAAAGGCCTGGTGTGTAAATCAAAGGATGGATTGGGAGACTTATTTGCAGAGATTAAACGCAATGTCCTGAGGAGTGTTTTTTTTTTTTTTTTTTTTTTCCTGAGTGTTAACACTTGAAAATATAAGAAGTTGTTGGTATTTCCCGAAAAAGAAAAAGTGTTTTTATACTCAGGGGTGGTGCTTCGTTTCTGCTTCACTCAGAGTGCTTTGCTCCTGATTTGAGTCACATCAGGCATTCTCCTCACTTTTTCCACAGGTGACCAAAGTAATAATCTGAGTTTTAAATTTTTATTTTTTATTTTTTTTATCAAGCCCGCATGCTAAGATAAATTCAAGATAAATTCTCAAACTTACTTTAGATTTGAGGTTTAACATAAACTTACACACATGAGCTTGGATCTAGTCATGTCCTGGTTTAATGTATTTACTTGTATTAAAGGGATATTTCAGTATTTTTTAAGTAAGGTTGTATCAGTTATGCGTCACTGGTAAGTCTGTTAGCCATGATGGGTGGAAGTCAGTTCTGCCTATCTAAATGTCAAACCTCTGGGGGAACCAGCCATAGCTTGGTCAATGGTTCACTACAGACGGAGTCAGGTCTGCCTCATAATTTAGCTTATTTTTAGAGACCTTGACCAAAGTACACAGCTTAGTTTCCATGCACGCTCCACTGGGAAATTATTCAGCCCTTTGCCATCAGATAGTCCATTTGTTTTTACACTATTAGTAAGTAAGTAAAATTTATTGAGTATGGCACCCTTCATAGAAAAGATTCACAAAGTGCTTCACAGTAAGAAATTTAAAATACAATCATACACATAAAAGTAAAATCAAAGAACAATAACAAACAATGGCATAAATAGAGCATTAGTTAGAACAGGGAGAGATAAAGGCCTGTTTAAATAAGTGAGTCTTTAAAAACTTTTTTAAAGTGACAATAGAAACAGCTGAACAAAATATTAGCAACTAAATTATTCCACAATGTTGGAGCCACCACTTCAAAAGCACGATTACCTCTAGTTTTTAGATGAGCTCGAGGGACAACAAGCAAGCCCTGGTCAGTGAACCTGAGTGACCTACAAGGAATGTAGGGATGGAGCAGGTCAGTGATATATTCAGGGGCCTGACCATGCAGAGCTTTGTATACAAAAACCAGAACCTTGAAGTTAATCCTAAATATCACCAGCAACCAATGAAGGGAACATAGAATTGGGTTGATGTGAGTTGTCCGGCTGGACTTGCTCAACAGTCTTGCAGCAGCATTCTGGACTAAATGCAGGTGATGAAGGGATGACTTATAAAGACAGGTGAAAAGTGAATTACAGTAGTTCAGGTGGGATGAAACAAAAGCATGAATGACCATTTTGAGTTCAGAATGTGACACAACAGACCTAATTTTAGCAAGGTTTTGTAAATGGAAGAAGCATGACCGGGACAACTGTTTTATATGGTCTGTTTTATCATGCAGTGTTCGAATATAACTCCAAGTTTTTTAAGTTTAGACTGGACTGCAGAGGAAAGGGAACCAATACACTGACCAACCTTGTGAGCTATGGTATTTGACCCAGCAATGAGGATCTCGGTCTTGTCAGGGATTAGCTCCTGAAAGTTATGAGCCATCCAGTCTTTGATGGCGGTCAGACAATCGAGCAAAATAATTGATTAGTCTGTGTCATCAGGCCTAAAAGACACATACAGCTGGATGTCATCAGCGTAAAAGTGATACGAAATGCATTTGAATTTGCTGATGATATGACTTGAAGGCAGCAAATACACAGCAAATAATAAAGGCCCAACACAGAACCCTGAAGGACACCTGAGGATAGGGCAGCTGTTTCAGACATATATGGACCAAGTGACACAGAAAAGCTCCTGTCAGAAAGATAGGAGGAGAAACAATCCAGGGCAATCCCAGAGATGCTCACCTACTGCCTCAGCAGATAACACACATATTCATGCTCCTCTATCTGCAGCATGATCAGCTAATCTATGATGTAGGAGTCACTAATACAACATGAACTTTGATACTTTTGTTTTTCTTTTATAATGTAAAATAAATGCCTAAGATGACCCAGCAGATACATGCAGAGATTGGTATTTCAGCTCAGTCTTTTCTTTCAGCAGCAAACATGGAGTGTTTTGAGAGTGTAGATATATAGTGTGGACCATGGATGTGTCATTATGCAACAAAAAAAACAACAGGACCAAAACACTTACTTTAAAGATGCTCTTCTATTCCACTGGTGGTTTTCTGATTTCTCTCTAGACTGTTAAAGAAAGTTTATAACAAACTACAGAGTGCAGTGAACTAAGGTTAGTTAACATTGGAGCCTGGAGCCTTGGATGACTGGTATAACTTGATTGTCAAAAGTCCAAAAGTGCTGTTTTACCAAGTGTCATGATTGTAGCCAGTAGTTTGCTCAGTTTATGAGCACTAGCTCACAGTTTACCTATCTGAGTTAATATCTATCTATCTATCAATCTATCTATATACAGTATATATATATTTTAAACCTAGTTCATAAAGGTATTCTTGTGCATCCACAGTAAATAGCATATTAGCAGTGCTGTCAGACTCACACATCACTAGGTTTGGTTGTACTTTTGTATCTTTCAAAACCTGTGGACTGAACAGCTGATCAGTCCGTTGCAGGCAGTGGAGCGTCCCTGTGTGTGTTGTGTCCTGTGTAAAAACAAATGGGCTTTCTGGTGGCAAAGGGATGGAAAAAATCTCAACTAGGAGCTTGAGTTAGTGTCTATAAATTTGCTAAATCCCATGGTGGACTTGACCCTTTCAATTGTTCGCCTGGCTAGCCAACTGGTTCTCCCAGCAAAATCTTGTTAAAGGGACAGTACCATAGACCATGTATATAGTATGGACAACATGACTCCTCCTCCTATCATTGTGCGGATTTGCAGCCAAATTGCTCTTGGTATTTTAGGGATTTTCTCTATTTCCTGAAACCAGCATTTGTGTAGTAGCCTTCAGCGGGAGAGCCGCTGTGATGATGCTCTGCTCAAACAGGGTATACCACTGGATGATCTACACAATCTTTGTACGCCCACTGACTGAATCCAAATGTTAATCATAGAAAAACTGAACACCTTATAATCATAAAAAATGAGCTGACCTGAAAAAAAGAGGACTTCAGCACAAACCAGTCTCACAACAACTACATGTCATCATTACAACCAGGAGGAGAAAAAATTTTATTCTGTGTATTTAATTTTTTAAGTTTGTCCACAGCTTCATTCATTTTGCAGTAAGAGGTGGGGTTTATGACCTATACTGCAAGCAGTCTCCAGGGGGTGCTGTTTTCTTCCGGAGGCTTCACCCAGCGAGAAGGCAGATGACATCCATTCTTCATACAGTCTATGTCAGGACTGATTGGCATCCATAGTGGCTAATTCAACCCCACTTTAACCTAAGATGTCCTTTTAATGACACCAAAAGTCAAACAGGCTGACATTAGTAAATAAAACGTGACAAAAACACCCTCCTGAATGGAAAGTCGAGGACTTCACAGTTTGCCATGAAGGTTGAAATGTTCTAATGTGACAGTCAATGTCATCTCTTTAACAATGTAGTTTGAGTGTGTAAAAGATACTGAACTCAGTCCTGACCCTTGTGTGAATCAATATTTTTTTTTAAAGAGTGGATCAAATACTCTGTGTAAAGCATCACTTTGTAGTGAAAACCACCAGAGGATTATCACTTGACTTGTTTCCTCAGCTCTACAAAGCATTAAGCATCATTTAACACATTGATTGGGTTTTATGGAGCCCAACTTTACTGTTTTAGGTCACTCTCACATCTTAAATTAACAGGCTTAGCAGCAGGTTTATTTTTAGTTAAAAAGCTTGAAAAATCCACTGTACAACTAGAGCCCAGCAAGTTATTGAAAATGAAATGGGCAACAATCTAAGTATAATGAAGCAGTTAGCAGCCAAAGAGCCTGATACTTCCCCCAGAAGGCAATAAAGATGAAACAGGACAAAAAGGAGAGACAGTTTTAGATCTAATCTCATAAAGAAGTCACAATCATAATTCCAACACCCAGCACACCTATGTAGGGACAATAGGGCATACCAGAGAGAAGCAAAGACAATTTAGTCATTAGTGTCCATGGTTGCCTCAAATGGGTTCACCCTGATGGATTGAGGCCCTTGAAGGACTTCATACAGGGTCTGTATAGATGGAGAACAACACTTTCTCACCCTCCAAAGTCCCATTGTTTATAGTTCAATACAATGCTCATTTTGGCCCAAAAAAAATGGTCCCTTACACCAACTCACTTATAGCTAAGTCTATGACCATACCCAGCTGAAGGCTTCATGCTGAAATTGACTAGTTTTTGTTCAATTTAGACACAAAACCCCCAAATAAAATCAGTTATTTATTTTATTTGATAATCAGAAGAAAGCCCCCAGCTGTATAATGTCATTTTCTTGGTCAGAATCCTGGAAAAACTACTGTACTACCACTATCATTTTTCCACCTCAGAAACATTGCTAAACTCCGCCCCACCCTCACCCTCCCTGACGCCGAAAAACTGGTCCACGCTTTTATCTCCTCCAGGCTGGATTACTGTTATGCACTCCTCATCAGGACCCCTAGCATGAGCCTCCAAAAGCTCCAACATGTACAAAACAGCGCAGCTAGGGTCCTGATGAGGGTGCGTAAATGTGAGCACATCACTCCCATCCTCCGTTCGCTGCACTGGCTCCCCATCTCCTTCCGTACTGAATACAAGGTCTCCCTGCTAACCCACCAATGCATCCACGGCAACGCCCCCCTCTACCTAAAGGAACTGCTCGAGCCCCAGCCCCCCACCAGAAGCCTCCGCTCCTCAAACAAAGACCGCCTCAAAGTCCACCCCACCAAACTGCGGACCATGGGAGACAGAGTGTTTTACGCAGCCGCCTCACTACTGTGAAACTCTCTCCCAGACCACCTAAGGGCCCCTCAGTCTGTGGACTCCTTCAAAAGAGCCCTAAAGACCTTCCCTTTTAATAAAGCCTTTTGTTAGCTTTCTTTATGCTTTTTACTACCTGCCTTTTGCACTGCAATTCAATATTCTTTATTTATTTATTTTTTTTTCTTTTATGCTTGCTATGCTAATCTGTGACTGACATTCTATTGCTTTTTATTGTTGCTGCTCATTTTTTACTGTGTACTGTAGCACTTTGAGATTTCTTGTAAATGTAAAGTGCATTACAAATTAAATGTATTATTATTATTATTATTACTATGGCACAAAAAAGCAGATAATATTGCCATTCAACAGCTAACACAGTATATTTGATTGGGTAAACATACTGTATTAACCCTGGGTCAAGCCTGATTGTAGGATAAAGCTTGGAAAGGTCCTGAAGTACTGTTTTTGTTGAGTCTACCTCGTAGCTCACAAACAGTACCTATCTGAATTCCAGTTCAGAAAAGTGGTCTTGCAACCACGGCAAACAGCGTGTAATCGCAGCTGTCAAAATCAGCCAATTTTTGGTTTGGCTGTGTCATTGGGTGTAATGAAATCCAAAGGCTAGTTCTAAAGAGCAAACAAATACACCATAATTAAGTGTTTGAATTAAGTTTTCCCACATTTAGCTAAATTATGTGGTAAAATTGACTGCATCTGTAGTGGTTGATAGTCTAGCTCCCGTACTAGTACTTTGCCCAGTTTCTCATCAAAGGGGCCAAGCTGACTGGGTTCCCCCTGAGTAACACGCTTACTATCGACAAGTACCTCATGCAACCCCACTTCAGAAAAACCAAACTGTGCCTCTAAGCTGTAGCAGAGACGTCTCCAAAAAAATCAAAGACACTCATTACCCAGTTTCACATCAAATAGAATATCAGGGTCAATCAAGGCCAGAGAATGTGCAATCAGTTTGAAATTGTATATATAAATAAGAAAAAAAATCATCATTATTATTTCATGATGTTTTATGATTGAGGGGGATCAAACTGTTTTTTATTATAATAAAAACACCAAAAAATACAATCTGAAATGATAGGAAGTTTCAGTTCATGCAGTTGTTCAGACCAGCGGTGTCGCCAGACAGATTTCACTAGGGCACGTGCCCCAGTATTGATCTGCAGTGCCCCAGTAAAAATTTCATCTATAAAAAAAAAATCCCTTCAGAGTATTAAGTCCACATAGCATCGACTACAGCGCACATACTATTTAGTATGGTAATTCAGTGCTACTGTATTCACTCCACATAAACAATGTGCACATGGCTAATTAATATGGTAATTTATTCACGTGTAGCGACTTCGGTTGATAATACTTCCGTGTCAACTCGAAGTTGCGAGAGAGAGAGAGAGAGAGAGAGGCAGGCGATGAGAATCACTGCGTGAGGTAGGTAACATTAGCCGACAACAACTTGTTAAATATATTATTTTGATTTTGATTTGACTCGAACTGTAACTCCTAGATGGATATCAGAAAGTTATTCGCCCGCAGCAGGGATAAAGCAGCGAGGAATGAGAGAGGTAAGTGAAGTCCTAGCTAGCTAGGCAACATAAGTCTGTCTTAAATTAATGCTAAGTTAGCTAAAGTTATTCCTTTTATCAAGACAACCATATTAATTTGCTGTACGAGCTGTGGGGGGAATTTCCAGTGAGTTTCATCAGCATGAAACATAATGTTGGTTATGGTCTGCTGGTTCTGCTCTGGACCTCTGCATCAATGATGATTTTGAGTAAGCTTGTGTTAGTTGACAGATATAGCCTATGGATGGTGCAGTGGTTCTCAAATGGCCTATCTTCAAGAAGAAAAACATTTTATATATATATATTTTCATGTCTGTCCAAACAAAGTGGAACAACAGAGTGCTGGAAGAGGTGAGGGAGAGATGAAAGTTGACGAGCAAGAGCGGAGGTGAGCTGACTATCAATGAATGATGTCCCAATCATGTTTTTTTTTTTCTTTTTTTGCCCCTGAGTCATTTGATTTTGAATATCGATGGCAGAAACACAAAACCTCCCATATAAGGAAAAAACAAAAAACACATTTTTTGGAAAACAAAAAACCTGCCAGTTTCTTACAGAATGCTTTTTGGTCAAGTGACTTTTTTGTCACAAGGAAGGGTGGGATTTTTTATGATAAATAAGCAATGAATATGTTGTTTTTCTTGCACACTTTGCGCGCTCTCATGAATGTTTTGTGCCCCAGGTGTGCCCCAGTACAGTATTACGTCTAGTGACGCACCTGGTTCAGACACAGGAAAAAAAAAAAAAAGGGAGGTATGGGCTGATTCAGCTGGTAATGAAATAGACCAAAATAAATCCCGGTACCTCTACAAGACCTAAGGGACCTATACAAGAAAATGAACCCACTAGAACAAAGACAGACATAGGGCTCTATTTTGGTGCCTCGCCGGAGACGTGCCGCAAGCGCAGAGTCAATCAGATCCGCCGCGCTGACAAGGCGTTCCCAAGCACATTTTGGTATTTTGGTGAGCCGCGCAGCCCGGCGTAAGTATCCCCCCTCCCTAACTCAGCTCCTCCCGGCAGCATAAATCATAGACGGGGAGGAGAGAGGGGTATAGGGGGTTTAACACAGCCGAGACCTGTTTTCACCAATCACATTAGCTCCTCTCCTCGCCTTTAAATCCGCCACAGGCGAGGCGTATTACTATTTTCATGAAGTAGTCAAAGAGATCAAGAGATGTCTGAAGACAGTTATGCCACACGATGGCGACAGAGGGCAGCTGCTCAACAAGTGTCCTCCACACTCTCTCATCTGAGCACAGATGGAATTGGTGTGCGTAATGTTGGACCCACTGGTAAGACAAACACCCTTTTCCACAAATAAAGACACTCACATGTAGTTGCATATATTCAAATCTCACGTGACAAAGGTGGGTTGAGCGCACAGATCACAACATAAACTCCAAAAAGGCATTAAAATCGGAACCATCTGTGCGTAAATGACGCATCGCGCTCCGTGGCCTGGCTCTTTCTTTCATAGATGTTGGCATATAAAATAAATTTGGCTCACAAAACTGAATATTATAATATCCGTATGTCGGCTTAAAGTAGATAACGCATCTGAGCACTGAAACAAATCATCTGTTCAGCCGCAGCAGCAGGAAGACGGACAGAGGACACGGAGACGTTACCAGGTCGAGCTGTGCGAGAAATAAGAGGAAGAAAGAAAAGGAGGGAGACACATTACATATCTTGTTAACTTCATCATGTGTGTTTATTTACTAGATATTTAATTTAATCTGATGCAGTTTCAGCTGTATTGATTCGGTCAGGTTGTGTGTCCAAACGCGTGCCAAACGCGCTCATCAGATCAGATATAGATCAGAATATATCGATATAGATCTAAATGTATGTGCTGACTCAGATTAATAGTTGATGATGATTATTTATTGCACTGAAATGTGCCTGACACTGTGGAAACCTGCCGGTGAGGCATCAGTGACGTATGTCGATACGCCGCCGGTCTACCAAAATACTACTGGACCAGCTGCGTTCCGCCTTGCGCTGAAAGCTGACCAGTTTTGAATCGGCGAGCTTTCAGCGCACGTTACACGCCAGTGGCCAGCACGAAAATGTCACTGCGCCAGCTGATTCTGTCAACACCTCCCCCTGCCACGCCACCACGCCCAGCTTGGCGGATCTCGGCTCGCCTCCGTGCGACTCAGTCCACGAAAATACCAAACTCGCCTTACGCCGGGCTCCGCCAGACAAAAATACAACTGCGCGGGGCTCGCCGCCCTCCGCCGCCTCACCGGCGCGAACGAAAATAGAGCCCTTAGAGTTGTTTCCAAACTCAACCACCAGGTACATGTGGACAAAACTATAGTTCTTCATAATAGCCCACCAACTCAAAGGACTTGACTGTGTTGGTCTAAACACTACTTGATAAAGGAAATCAACTCTGAATAACAAAAGTAATGCCAGAGAAGAGCAGATGTGTCAAATCAATTCACTGAGAGTAGTTCCAGCATATTTGACCATTGCTTGTTGAAGCCATGGGACTTGAGTTTCCGTTGGCATTACAGATAATATAATGTGGAATATATAAAGTTTCCATTCATGTGTGTAACTGGTTGGTGAAACATTACCAATGTTTAGTAATGAATCCTGTCCTACAATCCAGGCAAGGGCAGCAGAACTGGTGAGTGAATCTTAAAATTTCTGATTGCAACAGGAAAAACATGAGCTGCAGGGGGAAAAGCACAAGTGTTGAAAGTTCTGACTTTTGCCTGATTTAGTTTCAAAAGTGTGTCAGCTGCAAAGCCCAGAGAAGAAGGAGAGCTCAAAGAGAGTATCGGTTAGACTACCTTACTTACTCACCTATCAACCTGTGCAAAGACAACCATTCAACCATAGTTTTCATTTCTGCCAGAGTTTCACAGTGAGTGATAGGTACAACTTAAACATGTATGAGACAAGTTCAGTGAAGAGTTGAGAGGTACGCTTTGTCCACAAAATCACCAAGTTAACATTAAACTTTATCATGTCCCTGCAATACCTCACAGAGTGTAACCACTCCACCAACACAAAGTAAAAAGGGAGAAAGCCCTGAATGATGCTCAGTATGTGGTTGTGCACATCAGGGTACAACTCAAAGACCTAAAGAATGGCCTCTCAGCGGGGACTGTAAATTCCAGGCCTGGCTGCTGTCCATTAGCGAAGCTCTGCTTTCTCCCAGCTGCCCTTGGTGCCCAGCGTCTCAGCAGAGGTGCTCTGAAACACAACACACCAAATGAGATGTGACTTGTGCCGCCATACTGTTCTATTTATACTGGATGGGACGGCATTGAGGGAGAGATGCAAAGAAGCGCTCACCTGCTGCTTGATGAGGTCTGGTGGCTCTCCAAGCCCACCAAGGAGTCTGTGTAATTTTCACCCTCACATCTGAGGCTGTATGGAAGAGCTTACCCCCCCTCAGCCAGCTACGGCCACCTTCCCCCCAAAGGCAAAGAAAACAGTAGATAATTACCTAGTGTGAAATTTCCTCGCATTCTATCTTTCCCACACAATGTGTGGATGTCACACAGCTCATATTTGGCTGTGCATTTCGGGACATGCAACACAGCAAATGTGTTGATGCACGTATTGGAGGTGCGCTCCCTGAGGTAAAGGAGCACCTTCTGAAAATAATGGTTTTCCTTCTTGATTTCCTTTCCCAGGTAAGAGCTCTGAATCTGGTTTGTCATTGACCGAACAAAACAATGCCTCCTGTGAAGTCTGTCCCATAGAATGAAAGTCATGTGGAGTGAAGTCTAGGACTTGCACAAAAGATAGAGCTACAAGGTAAGTCAAACACTCTTCAGCCCAACACTCTTCACTCTCCAACAACATAATAAACTTTTAATTTTCCTAGAAACTGAGGTACTCCACAGCTCTCTCTGTGTGAGTTCTCTCTCTGCGGAACAAAAACACAATTGAACACAGGCCTTCAGAGACCTTGGAGTCATTGTAGAAAATACTATCATGATGTTAAAGAATTCAGTAGATTTGAGACTAGGGGAAGTTTAGTGAGAGTTTGAACATTTGACAAGATGTTATTTCATTTTTTTTTTTAATTATTATTTATTTAAACAGTGGTAAAACAGTATAACCGGGGAAAGCACAGACTTTTCTTCTTCTGTTTTCTATTTGTTCGTGTGCAGCTACATTGCCTGCATTTATCAGAGCTGAAGTCTCCTTTTAATACAATCCAGAATAACCACTCTTAAGCATCTGCCTGCAGCAGACATTCCTTTCTGCTCAAGGTTGGTTTTCTTTTTGTTATTAGTCAAGAACATTTTTCCGTCCATCAATAAATATGGATGAATTACTATAGAGAAAAATGTACAAAGCCTATTTTGAAGGTTGGCCATAAAAAACTTTAATTGCACGTCAGAGTTAATAGTTTGCATAAACACGCAGTTTTTTTGTTTTTTTTTCAGAAATGCCCCTATTTGTTAGCTATTGGTGCAAAGCTATATCTTAGCTCTGTATGTATTTTTTCTTTTTTGTCTTCAATTTTCCTTGGGTTGTGAAAAACACTGACAGCTGGATCAGCAGCCAGAGCGTCAGAACAGTGCTATGTGTGCATCTCAGAGTCTGTGTGTATTTTGTGCTTTTGTTGAGAGTTTAGAGGCAATGCTTTTCACGCTCCTGTGACACCTGAAGTTCATGTGAAACTGCACTCTCTCAGAGACACCTACTTTACTTTTTTCAAGGTGCAATGTGCAGGTGCAAAAGCAGGGTAATGGCAGACTTTTTTGTAGCACTTTGGCTTGTGGAAAGGGTTGCATCTTTGTTTTTGACATTAAGTTCAACTGTTTTCTCATATTTTAACACTGTAACTGTGTGACTACTGTTTATAATCCAGTCTTGTTAGCTTTGCACTGGGACTGACGTTTTGCGTGCAATGTATGTGCCATATGCTGGGGCTCCTGCCGACTTGAGGGGTGTAACCCGCTTACCATTGCCAATCTGTTGTACCCTGTCACTCAGCACATTAACATGAGCAATCAAGGCTCAGGGATCATGAAAAAAGAACAAATGGAGCAGAGGTTCCCAAAAATATCACTATTTATTTACAACAAAACATATTTTTAAATCAACACACAAAAAAACACACACAGAAACAGGAATCTGTTGTAAGTGTAATGTAAGTGTGGGTGTGTGTAAGCATGGTGTATGTTTGTGTAAGCATGGTACACACATGCGTTAAAAAAGAGAGCGAGAGAGAGGAAACTAAAGCTTTATATCCCGGGTGGAGCTTTGGGCCCAGGGGCCACAGATCTACCGAGGGAATGAGTGCCTCATCACCACAAAAGAGGGGAAGTATAGTTGGTAACACCAATGCTCTCCTAGCAGGGTCGTCACATACAGGATACATAGCTTGATTCAGAGATTTAGCTGAACTGCTGGTCTTGTTCCAGTTTACATGCACCAGTCAAGACTCTGCAGTGGGTGGCAAAATGCTCCCTTTCAGTTAGTTACCGTTGGGTAATCTCCTGGTTGACCTTTTACGTATGAAAACAATCAACCAAACCTAAGAGGCTAACCAGATGTACGTTATTAAAAGAAAACATTGTTATTTTTAACAGCTTTTTTTTTTTTTTTTTTTGGTACAATAAGAAAGTCTCATTTTGTTCACATCATTTCTTTGTCCATTAAAGGTGGGGTAGGCAGAATCTGAGGAAGTGCCAGTTTTTAGGAGAAATCTTGAATGTAAACTCTACCCCTCCCAACCAGTTTTCCCCTCAGCTCCTCCTCTCCCCTCCCCTCTCTGCTCCACTAAGCCCTGCCCACAAACAGACGCTCCTGCTTGCTCGTATTGTTCAAACTAAATCTAGATAATAATGCAGATAAATACTTCAGATACTGATGAATGGGGCCCAGTCAATGTGAGAGTAAAAAGCATTGGTGCTACTGTAGATGCAAACAGACTACCAGCAAACACAGTGTTTGCAGGACTTCTACAACTAGGATAAAGTGACATAGTCTAGGACCCAAGGTCAACAGTTAAGCAGCGCTACAACACGCTACAGCAGGTCCTGTTTGACAAGAAACACCTATGTTATAGACATTTGGCTTACTTTATTAAAGCAGTTTACTTGTCCAGCAGAAAGGTTACCCCCCACTACCACCACCACATCCGTTATCTAGGCACATGAGTCCATCTATGAGAAGTTCAATTTAGTGCAATTTGAGGTGGATGAATGTGTTTACATTACATTTTTAAATGCACAGTTGAGTCAAGCTCCTGTGTGTCTTCAATAGAAGAAAACTTAGAATCTCACAAAGTGATGTTAAAAATGACGTTTATTAGAAACTCTTGTCCAACAATAACAAGCTCCTCCCCCTGCATGAGAAAAATCCTCTATCACTCCGATGCCATTTAACTCATGCCGTTGTGACTACAATAAATGCCAGATATGGGGAAAAGCAAGAGAGTGGTTGCAGTGGTGTTTGGAGGGGTTTGTTGTTTAAGAGTGAGACTGCAGCAGGATTAATGATCAGAGCGGCAGACTTGGCTTTTGCTTGCATCACGTAATCAATGGCGTTGAGAAAAGCAGACCCATTGGCCGGCAGAGTGGCTTGCCGGGAGCTGCAAGAGCCTCGACTAACCCCCTCTCATTTCTCAACAAGACAGAGGGCCCCTCACTGCCAAACAGACAAGGTGAAACACTGTGGGGACCCCACTTGAATAGCGAGGGCTT